TTTTTAAAGAACAAAAAGTAAATATTTTCGTTTAAATAAAAAAAAACAACGTTTTCATTCATTCAATTCACCATTCATTTGAATTTCCGCTTTAGAAATGGTAACACTGTAGGCACCGGCAACAACTCAATCTTTTTATTCTGTGAACTCAATTTAGACCTTTCAAAATGAAATTTAGGAACGTCATTTTCTGACTTAAATTTATGATTTGGATATACCGGAATAGCAAACCACTTTGCTTAAACCTAAAATAAATTATTTTTAGGTTTGATTTAGGTTTAAGTTTGGTTTGCGGGAATCGACACCAATGTAGTAATAAACATAAAACTGATACAACATATGAATAAGTGTAATAAAATTGCGTAGGTTAATTTCTTTCGGCACTTTAATCCACAACTTTCCTGGAGTCTTCAAGGATGTGTTTTTATATTCTCGTACAATACAGTAATGATAATTACTTTATTTTTCGTGGTATTTATTAGAAATCATGATTTTTTTTATTATAAACTCAGTTAAAAGTAATTTTCTACGTGTTTACGAGTTTTTGTTTACCACAGTTCACGTCATAGCATAGATAATCTATAGACTAAAATGGCCGACAGCGTTTTTGTATGTCCATGAAAAGTCTATTTTAAAATTAAAGATTTGTAGCTTTCTAGGTTTAAAAAAAATACAATACATTTTTTTCGGTCTAATAGAACATTTATTAACCATTTAAAACCTTTTTCCAAAAAGGGTCAACTAGCCTATTTAATACGATTAGGTATCGTCTGTTGGAGGTATAGGAGCATCCGTGTTAGAATTGCATCCAAGCAATTTACAAGTCATACATAAGTACAAACAATGCTTCTTTCCATAAATTATTTAACCATGCTCATATACCCTGGCAGTCAGTAACTACTGCCCAAACATGCCGTTTAAAAACGCTACGTAACGTACGTAAAAACGTTTAAAAATGCTCAAATATGATTTCTGTGCCATAAACCCTTCCTTCCTCGCATCCGACTCCAAGGCTTACTTACCAGTGTCTGCCCAGCGTTCCACGTGTCATATCAGGTCTCTGGGTTCTGCCCCATGGCTAGCCCGACTACGTCAACTATCCTATCATGAATAGTCACTGTAACTACTCAACCAGTGACCATGACCCGGGACAGGCACTGAGCCCGATGCGGGACTAAGGTCCCTTAATTCTTCTCCAAGCTCTTCTAAAACGACTCCACAACCACTCATCATGCACTGAAACTTTGCATCACAGATCCAGCAATAAGTCACATAGCGTCCAAACTTCTGGCCTTAACATCGGTTAAATCGACAGTTCCGCTCCGGCGTTCTTTCCAGGTCTCCGCTGTTCCACCCCTCACTTCTTTACCCGTAGTTGTTCAAAACCGTTCCCACCAGCACTAGTGTCTGTTGCCCCCACCGCTGATCCTTAATTTTTCCCCTGCTCTCTCACTCCAATCAGCTGCTGTCCTGATTGGAGTGAGGGGAAAAATTCACTCTGACCATATGACAAAACCCTGTGGTGATTGGACGTTTCATATTGCCCGCCAAAACCAAATCAATAGCGATTGATTGCTTATGCTTATATAGGTTGATACACCCAGTACTACCAACTTTACAAAGATTACATTACGTCACTTATGTTGGATGACTTGCAACCTGTGTTGCCACATTAATTCTTGTGCAAATGACAAGGAGGGCAAAAAGAGTAAAAATGAGCTAGTTAGATCGGAACTCATATCGCGCTTGGACCAGAGGCCGCGCTCTTAAAGATCCCGGGGTTGACTCACTGAAAGCTGCCTATAATAGTACTTCCAAGTATTACAAAAAGGCTTACATCAGAGCGGATGCCCAACGTGTACCACGTACTGGCCACGAATTGTTAACGCACCCTACGGCTCCCGTAGTTTTTGGCGTTTGGCTAAGGCCGTGCAGCAGAGATTCTGCCAGCCCTCGCTGCCACATTTGCGATGTCCAGATGGGTCACTAGCTCATGAGCTGCAAGAGAAAACCGATTTGTTGGCAAAACTCTTTGCGGCTAACTCCCAAATCAGTGATTGCAATGCACTGCCACCTACACTACCTACATTAAAATCAGGCAGCGTGATGTTCGTGTGGAGTTGCAATTAGGGGTCGCAATACCGAATCATCACCTTTTCCTTTTACCTTTTAGAATTTTGTAATTTAAGAGAACGTCAGTGCTCGTTACGGGACCATAAAAGTTATTAAATCATCTATTAAATCTACTATATAAAAATAAGTCGGGTTTTCCTTCCTGACGCTATAACTCCAGAATGCACGAACCGATTTCCACGGTTTTGCATTCGTTGGAAAGGTCTCGGGCTCCGTGTGGTTTATAGCAAAGAAAATTCAGGAAAAATTTCAAAAAAAAAAAATCTTTTAATCACCAAACGAAATTTTACATAAAACGAAGCCATCTGATGGCGAAACGGAGTTCGCCTGGTTTGCTAGTAATATATAAAAAAGTAACTCATTACGCAAAATAAATAAAATCACTATTTTGGGCAATGTAGCAATAAAAAGTTGATCGACCCAATTAATAAGACACACTATACAGTCGTATTTTGTTTCTGTTTTAGATATAGTAGGTACCTATGGTTTCCCTTTGGAGGGTGGGGGCTGCGAGGAAGAAAACCTCTTCAAAAATCACCCTGGGTTGGGGGGGAAATAGAGTGGCCCCGGTGTCGGGGGGCGGTGCGCCGTCCGGAGGAGCTCGTAACCCCGTACGTGATGCGGGGCCGAAGGCCGCCATCTTCTTCGGAGGGTGGGGGCTGCGAGGAAGAAAACCTCTTCAAAAATCACCTGGGTGAGTCTCGGTTGGCGTCCTGAGTATCCCGGGCAGCGGCAATCGAGACTATTATTGGGAGGGGCGGAAACGCCGTTGGAGTGAGGGCGGTCGTGGTGCGAAGTTCGCGCCGCGTATTTTTGTCATGCGCTCCCGCTGACGACGGCCGCTCTGGGGTAGCTCGGCCCCGGAGTGTTAAATTGGTTACGAGCGGCCCATGCGATCCGGCTGGCCACCGGCGCTGCATGCTTACCGGGGCATGCAGAGGGAAATCTACTACCGAGTAGGGACACGATATCGAATAGAAAGTATCGATACTGTGCTCATGAGTAGTATCGGTAAAAAAGTATCGTACTCGTAAAAGTATCGATACTCCAAAGTATCGAGTACATTTCATAGGGTCTTATCGGAGCCTCTGTGGCCTGATGAGCAACCCCCCTCCCCCCGGTGTTAAAATTGAAAAAAATACAATCGAATTTTATTATGGTACGTATAATCAAAAACAAAAAAAGGACATGTAAATTCACAAATTGCTATATTATATAACGAGAAGAAAATAACTGTGATTTCTGACACTAAAAAAGTGTTCATTAATATTACATTCATAATTAAAATGTTAATTAAAACGATCGAAATATTAAACAATTTAAAAGTATGAATCTTTGAAACTTTTCAGATTTGTTTCAAATTAAACTTGCTTTTCTTGAATTTTAATCATTAAAAAACATTATACCCACTTATGTTGACTTGAATCTGACACGTAGTTAACGGCTGCCATTGGCATGCTTCACTCAAGATTATAATTATAGAAGAGGTTACGTCCATCTTTTTTTCAGGTGGTTTCTAATGGGTATACACAGCACATACAGAATAATAGTGTTACACTTGAATTAATCAAATACAGTCAAGCGAAAAGCACAATAAACGTCGACTCAATCACAGTTCCTAACAATATGGTCACTAAATAAATAACTATGAAACAAAACAAAGCGCAAAATAAACACAGTCACAGATTGGAAAAAAAATTAATATGTCAGTTACTGACTTTATAACAACGCAATAGGGCATTTGACAGTATTAAAAATAAAGTGCCAAAATAACGAAAAAGATATTAGCTTTCTTAACTATTGTGACGTAACCCAAAACGCTTGGGATTGGCGGAGCCTAAAATGACGTCACACGCAAGTAAACTTTCGGTCAAAGTGACATTACATTGTATCGTTTGACGTTTTAATTACAGTCGTGTGACGTCACACACTAGTAAGACGCCATATTGTCCAGAGAAACGTTTTCGCGGCAACTTGAGAATGGTGTTTTTGATTTGGTTATTTTTACTGAAATACACGACAGAATGATGAATATCCACTTTTTACGGACTCCATAAACATTAGTCAATAACGTGAGATCGTTGCCTAAAACTTGACAAATACCCTATGGAATGTTTTAGAAGGTTTGCTATGATTTAACAAGATGGCGTTGCCATCAATATGAGGCGCTTATCCAAATTTTTAAAGGTATCGATACCTGCCAAAAAGTACTCATTTAGTAAAAGTATCGAATACAAAGTATCGAGTACAGAAGTATCGGTATCGAAAGGAAAAGTACTCGATACCACAAAGTATCGATACATTTTTCGTCTCCCTACTACAGAGGCGTGTGAAAGAGAAGGTGCTGTGCTCCGCGTGAGAGAGGGGGGGTTACAGCGGAGAGGAAGATGAGGGGGACCTACCACCAGTGTCCCTCGGAGCGAGAAGTATAGGGAAAGACCCTATGGGTGGAACCGGACGTCGACCGGTAACTCGCTCACTCACTCGAGGTTCTGGCAAGATGCGCTAGTGTGCCCAACTTGAAAGACCTACCAGTCAAGGCGTTGACACGGGCTGAAGAGCTCAAACTATTCAAAACTCCTCAGCCACCGGAGAAAGGACCAAAGAAACGGGAGTACCAGTCGGGAAAACGTGGAGAACATGGAGGAGGACGTGGGGGTTGAAAACATGACCAAGACCAAAGTGGTTGTAGGGTCAAAAAAGGAAGAGAGGCCCAATACCATCGTCATCCTCATTCCCTGAACTTTCGGAGGATTCCCAGGACGAGCGACCGAAGGCGAGCCGCGGCGGTCCGAGCAGGGCAGGCAAACAGCCCTCGAAAGCGCCGCCTAAGAAGCTAAAAGATGGAAGGTCCGTTGGATTACCAGGGCCGACCAGAGGAAGATCGAGGAGGCTAACAAAAAGTTAGATGAATGGGTTAAGACGGGGATCCTCGGACTCCTAGATGCGGAGGCGGATAACCCTGAATCTCCGTTGATCCAACTGATCTGTCGAGTGGCTGGTAAGCACATTGACAAGATCAACCAGATCAGGAAGGAAGGGGAGCGCAGCATCCCTCTGAAGGCAAGGGACATGGCGAAGGGCAGGGACGCGGCGAACGCCAGGGTCGCGGCGAAGGCAAGGGATGCGGAAAAGCCTAAGGAGCCGGCACGCACCTACAACCAGATGGTAGCCGATGCGGAGAAGCCAAGGGCAGAGGCTGTGGGAAGAAGGCAAGTGGGGTCCGAAAATGCCACCCCAGGTCCATCAGTTCAACCCGAGGGCGTTCAACAAGGTAAGTGGTCCATTGTCGGTAAGAACGGCAGGGAGAAAAGCAAGCTTGCCCTAAAGAGGGAGAGACGCAAGGCCCGAAAGCAGGCTGCGAAAGAAGCTGCTTCGAACGCCCAGCCGCTGCCAGCTAAGCAAAAGAGGTCCACGGCAGGAACCGGAAAACGGCAAGGTCCAGCGCCACCCAAGAGCAAGGTGAAGTTAGTGGTCCCCCGTTCGTCTGCCGTACTTTTAACGATCCCGCCGGAGAAGAGGGAGACGGGTCCGTCGTATGGGCAGATCATTCAGCAAGCTAGAGGCCATTAAGCTGAAGGATCTCGACATTGAGGACATCGACATCCGGAACTTGATTGGCGGCAGTAGGATAATCGAGGTCCCGGGAGCTGCTAGCGCTGGAAAAGCAGACAGGCTGGCGGACAAGCTGAGGGAGGTTCTGGGGGACAAAGTGATAGTGACTCGGGCCATAAAGTGCGCGGACCTCAGACTGAGCGGGCTCGACGGATCTGTCAACCGGGAATTCCTCAAGGAGACGGTGGCACGGGTGGGGGGGATGCCCGACAGAGCAAGTGAAGGTGGGAGAAATCCAGCAGGGACCTGGGGGGCAAGGAACGGCTCTAGTTAGATGTCCTGTGGCTGCGGCCAAGGTGGTCCCTAAGGAGGGCAAGCTTAGGGTAGGATGGAGTTCGGCTCGAGTCCGGTTGCTGGATGTCCTCCCCATGCGCTGTTACAAGTGCATGGGGCTGGGGCATACAGCAGTTGTTGCTATAGATGTGGAGAGGAGGGCCACAAAGCGTACAACTGCAAGGCCCCCATCAAATGCAGGGTGTGTTGTGAGGCCGGCCCACCCAGCGGCCATCTCATGGGGAAGAAAAGATGCAGACCGCCGCAGAAGAAGGCATCGTTGTGGTCCGGGCCTCGAAAGCCCCCAACGGTGGCAGCTTCGGCGGAAATGGAGGTTACCGAAGCGTCCCAATGACCAGATGTAATCAATGTAACGTTATCCAAGGTAACCTCAACCACTGCGCCGAAGCGCAGGACCTCCTCCTGGCAACGGCGAAGCAGTGGCAGACAAATGTCGCGGTGATCGCGGAGCCCTACCGCGTGACGTCCAAATCAAACTGGGTAGGGGATCTGGACGGCACGGTGGCGGTGGTGTCCCCGAACGAAACACCACAGGCGACTCCCCTAGTGGCCAAAGAAAGAGGGATAGTCGCGTGGGGTGAGTTCACCTTCATTGGGGTGTATTTCTCCCCCAATAGGACGCTGACGCAACTGCAGGCGTGGTTGGATACGGTGGAGGCGGCCGTAAGACGCGCGGCACGGATAAAACGATTGTGCTCGGGGACTTCAACGCCAAACATATGGCGTGGGGGTCCTCGAGCGTAAATCGTAAGGGGGAGATAGTGCTCGACTGGGCGGCGCGATTGGGCCTGGTGATTGCCAATAGGGGGTCCGAATACACGTGTGTGAAGCCAAGGGGAGGATCCATAGTGGACCTCACCTTCACGACGCCCGCACTGGCCCCGCGCGTGCAGGACTGGAGGGTGGGGGGGATGTAGAGACGTTTTCGGACCATCGGTTCCGAGTCTCCCCCCCCCCTGCGCAAGGTGGGACACCCACAGTACAGGATAGGAGGACTCACTTCCCACGGTGGGCAATCACCCGGCTCAATCCGGAAAGGACGGAGGAGACGGCAATAGTCCAGGGGTGGAGCATGGACTCCAGTGACTCCCGCGGCATCAACGAGAGTGTGGCGAGGTCTGGGCGCGCCCTTAGGACGGTCTGCAGTGCCGGGATGCCTCCTGTTAGAACTCCCCCGACCAGGACCCAGGTATACTGGTGGTCGGCGGAGATTGCGAGGCTACGCGAGATTTGCCAGCAAGCCAGGACGCTCCTCCAGCGCTGTAGACGATGCGTCAGGCGCACGCCAGGAGAGGAGGAGAGGCTGAGGGCAGATTACCAGGCCGCCAAGAAAGCGTTAAAGGAGGAGATGACGTCAAAGGAAAGGGCGTGGCAGAAGTTCCTTGCCAACCTCGACAGAGACCCGTGGGGGCGCCCGTATCAGATGGTTAGGGGCAGAATGAAGCAGCAGGCTCATTCCACCGAGTCCTTCCAAAAAAGACCAAAAAAGGCATTGTTTACATTGCACATTTTTAGGTTAGATTGACATTGTAAATAGGTAATATTGTAGTACGACCATTTCTTTTGATACGTTATTATGGTTCAACTCGGACAGGTTTTCTACCAATTTTGAATTAATTGCTTCATCTCAATAAGTTATTGATTCTATTCCGTTACATATGTTTTTACTTTTTTTTTGAAGTTATACTTCTTTAGGCGCGTTATGAAAAAATGATGAGAGTGAAATTTTAAGATGCGCGCGCATCACTGTAACACAAAATTTTAACAGCATGAAGTTGGTCGCTTTAGACCATCTTCATGCGTTACTTTTGAGTTTACCGCACTTTAAGAAAATCTACCAACAAAATAGAAATAGAATCTCTATTTAGTGGGTGCTAACGACTGCATTGTGAAGGCCTATCAAAAGTATTTATTAATCTGGAACAACGGAACCAAAGCGCGATTCAGGAGACTACAGCGCCATCTCTTGACCATTGGTGTAGTAGATCCAAAAACCACATCTTTATTTTTTGTAATAAAGTAAGAGTTATAGGTATTCATATTTAATATATTTATCCACATGTTTCTAGTTTGTATATTCGGAATACGTGTTTGAGTTTCATACAAGTGCAAATCACATATGTTCTAATAAATTATATTCAGTAGCGATTTTAATTGAATATTTTGATTATTTATTTATTTTTTCAAATTAAAACTGAACTTTATTGACTGTATCCTTTTCCAGACTTTTTATTAATTTATTGTAATTAATTATTTGCATGCAATTAAAAACTAATTTTAAGCGATGCCAAAGAAGGATAACTTCTCACGCGCCTACATAAGTACACGCACCCATTTTTTAGGAAAATCAGAGAGTCGGATAGTCAACGAAGGTTTTAAGAATGATGGAAAGTTTGAAACTCCTGGGAAAACAGGCAAGGCCGACCAAAGAAAGAAATGGTCACATAAAGAACCATGGCCAGATGCTTTAAGTGAAGATAACTATCACTAATTTTACTAACTGCACATTTACAAATTATTTCTCTAATTAAACTTGTTATATACTACAAAATGATTTTTAGTATTATTTTCTTAACAAATGTGTTAAAAAACGTCGTATGATATTTGTGTGTATTGATGATTACCTAACGGCTCTGGTCTCAATGGCACCTCAGCGGTAATCACCAACATTACACACTTTTACACTATAAAGTACTATTTAATCTATAATAATTTTATTCTGATTCCAGAAGAGAGCTAGAAGCCGGTCATATTGCCATCTCCTAGTCCCCACCCTCCGACGATGACGGAGTGAATCCGCGAGGACTTGTTCCTCACGGACCCTCTCCGCCCCGCCTCCTTCTGCGAGATGCCAACCTCGCATAGCTTGCACTATGCCAGACACGGAGAGATCCTCCCCATAGTAGTAGTAGATGATTGCTACCCTAGCTAGCTAGCAGCGTAAAGCCCGTATAATTTGGCCATATTATAACCTGTCTATATATTATACATCAATGGGCCGTATAGATAGATGTAAGTTATTGATGCACTGTCCGTCAATGTGACAGCCAACGTGTGCTGCTATGTCTTACAAGTAGTTTGTTGATGTAAATATTGATAAAGCATGGCGAGCTCAGCTTACTTTAAAAAAATTGTGAGTAACTCGCCAATCCGTAATGTCAAAGTGCAGTTATAATATTGCCATCATTGAGCAAGAAGTAATCATTGGCATAATGCCCTACTTAAAAAACTAATAAGTTCACGATCAATCATTATATTATATCATTCTCAAAAATTTTGTTTTGTTAATTATGAATACTATCTTTACCAAATTTCATCTAAATTGTTTCTGTGGTTTGAGTGTGAAGAGGTAATTGAAAGACAGACACTTAAATAATAACATTATTGTATGGATATGGATGTATCCCATTAGGATCGTGCCTGGTGTCCCAATGGAAGGAGTCTATTGCTAAAATATAAATTGATGTAGGTGTAAGTAATATTTTTTTTAATCATCATCATCAGAATCTAGTAGTATATCAGTTTTACTTATTCCAATGGTTTTTAGTAAGTTACTTGCAGGTCCTGTTAAACCTTCTTCCTTAACACTTTCAGCAATATTTAACATGACAGCCTGACTTTTATTTCTATTACTTGAGAATAAATTAAGTTTGGATGCTAATTCTTCTTCTAATCCTTCATCTTCTCTATCAGTGTTATCAGACTCTTTTTCAATATCAGAATCATCTAAACTATTATTTTCAGAAGACATAAAATCCAACATTTTCTTTAGACAATTCACAAAATCATCAGAGTCAAAATCAATGCATGGATTGTCTGATTCGCTTTCTCTTGTGTCTGTTCTCGTCGTTATTGAATCAACACCCTCAAAATCAGATGTTTCTTTCAAAAAGCTAGATATTTTTTTTGTTATTGCATGTGGTGTCATAACATCACTTTTATTAAATTTAATTTGATCACTGTATCGTGTATTTAAAAATTCATTTAATTGGTGTGGACTAATATTTAACCATTCATCACTGTCATCTTCTAATTTGCTTATATTATCAGTATTACATTTTTTCAAGGATTCTTTAATAGTTTTAAAGTTGTCAGAAACCATTACTTCACTAATGTTTTTAGATACAGAAGTATTTATTGGACATTCCATATCAAGGAAATAATTCTTTGCTTTTTCCAATAATTTATTATATTCCTTTGAATCCTTAATATTTTGCCGAAAGTATCCATTGTCTGACAAATTATTCAAAAACCTCATAAATTCTTTGGTGGAAAAAATATCTTCAATGTTTCTTTTCATCAACATATTAAATCCACATATTAGTTTATGGCCTAATATATATTTTTTGTCTTTTTCTTCTTTGCATCCATTAATTTTTATATATTTTGAATGCAATAACATGGCATACAAACACTTAGTAAACTTGACTTTTACGAAAATAGGATCTTGGTATTCTACATTTTGACAATATTTTACTTCAAATAGGTCATGGTTGCAATAACATTCCACAATAGCAGATATAAATGATGGATTCAATGTTAACAAAGTTGCTAAATCAAGTGGCAAATTCACTACAGCATTATGAAAACTTTGTTTTATTTTCTGTGGATATTGGCCTACTCTAGACCAAACAACTTGTTCAATATCAGTTGATGCTATAGTTTGCTCTGGTAACTGAATTACCAATTTTAAAGCTTCTCGAATAGTAAAATCAGTGTTCAGATTTATAAGGGAAGGTTGAATAATATGGATATGGCCTTTATAAATAAATATCTGAAACAAAATATAAGCTCTTACAGTTTTTGCTTAACACAATCAGTGGGCCTTTACATGTCATTTTTCCTTCCTGGGTGTCGGTTTCCTATGAAATTGTCCTTAATGGGTTTGAGTATAGCTTTGTGAATAAATAATTGAACAAATAATAAGCTGATAAAATATGTACAATTTTCCATATAAAATATGAGTTTCAAATTAAAAATCCTTGCTTAAAATTAAAACATGTAAAAATGTCAAAAAAAAGTTAAATAATAAACCTTCCAGGCAGACTTGCAGATTGAAAAGTTTTTGAATGAAAATCCTGAAAGTAATTAAAAATCAATTTAATCAAACATACCCTATTTTCTGTACTCTCTGGATTGGCCCATGATGGTAAAACATTTGCAGCTTCTATAAGAAGAAAGTCACCATCATTGTCAGTTAATTGTATTATGAGATCTTCAAACATTCTGCTTATTTCAAAAATAAGGTATACTATAAACCATTCATCTTCAATGTTACCACCAAAACATGTTGTACTTTTGAGATGAACTTGAGTCTCTGTAAAAATATAATTGTACTTATATTATTTACAGGGTTATGCAACAACAACACTTTAGGATAAAAATATGAAAGTTATGATTAATGAGTATTCTTGCATTAAAAGAACTATCAAAATAACAAGACCAGATTTTTTTATTATAATTTGAAAGAGACAATTATTCGTTAGGTTACCTTTTTTGAAATCATAAATTAAAGGTTCCAGTTGCCAAAATTACAAAAAAGACAAAAAAATCAATCTGTAACACTGAATTGATATATCACCCCAGAATATTGACATTTGATATTTTCTATCTATTTAAAAACCATGAATTCATTTACAATTACTTAAATGCTGAAATGTCTTATTTTACACCTAATATTTTAATTTGGTTATAAAAAAAATATTATAGAATTCTTTGAAAATAAAAACCAGATTTATGTGGTGGCAGGGGAATAATCCCCTCCCACCCCTTAATTCAATGGAATATAATCTATATTTTAAACAATCTAGATTTAATTTACATTTCTTTACACTTTCCCAATGCTAATTTAAGACTTCAAAATTTGACCGACATTCGGCAGACCTAACCAAAATTGCCGAAAACCTAAGTTTGCCGTTTAACAGCTGCCGAACTTCAGTAATTCCGATTGTGAAACTAATTTCTGTGCTTCTCAGATATGTAATATTTAATATAGAAGAAAATAATCGAATTTAGATGAGAGTCAATGACAGAACACACCATTTGATTCCAATAAAATAGGGATATACACTTTCAACTCATCCTTATGCCATATGTAGTCTTTAGACAGCAGGTTTATTGTTTTATTCACACTATCACACAATTCCTCTAGAAGTATTGCATCATGAACATCCTCTTCAAATTTCGTATAAGAGAAAAAATTTGCGTGTACTGTGTCCTCATGATTTGTTATAAATTGTGTCTTTCGCTCGGCCATTTTCACACACTTGTTAAAAAAGACTTTTCTTTTATGCCAGGCCTCAGATCAACTAATAACCAAGGCTTGCTTTGTGGGTTATACTACCAAAACAACACGTTTATCATCAAGCTCACTGTTTAAAAATCTAAATGCCTTCTTTTTTTTTTTAATTTATTCATGACCTGGATACAGAGTCCTTCAGTCGAATACATTGTGGGTTACAAAATATTTTTAAATTAAAAATTAAGTAGATAAGTGTCCTCCAAAGGAGAGCAAGAATTGCAATACTTAAAATTACAAAAAATAACATTAGTTTTTTAAATTTTCAAATTTTGGTGTAAATGCTAATAATAATAAAGTTATATTTAAATGTAATTACAATCTAAGCAGTACAAATCAATTAAAACAGAAATATTTACACTTACAAGAATTCCTTAAACTAAATATTCTGTACAGTATTTTCTATTAATTTAAACAGTAGTTTATAAAAGTCTGAATTGTTTAGTAATTCCTGAACGTGGCGGGGGAAACTGTTTTGACTATGCTCACAGATGTCATTAATGAAGATGAGCCGTTGAATGTGGAAACTGGGACAGTTGAATTGTTGAATATAATGTGCTGAAGATCTGCATTTTCTTGATTACAGTGGAGACATCTTGAGTGGTTATAAATATTTATTCTGTGCAGATGTGCTGGCATGAGGCAGTGTCCAAAGCGCATACGTGTAATAGTGGTAATTAATTTTCTGTTAGAGTACTTCACTCTGGAATACCATGGCATTGTAGGTAGGTGTTTTTGAATGTTTGCATACCATTTGCCTTTCGTCTGTAATGTATTTTGCCAGTAGGAATGCCAAAGCTGTTTTGAAATTTCTTTAAAGTGACTGTAGAAGTCTATAAATGGAATGTTCAGTATGTGGCTATGATCTTCATCCTGCTCTATATGTGTGAGGCTATCTACTATTTCATTACCTTTATGTCACTGTGGGAGGGAACCCAAAGAAATTGTACTTCTATTCCTTTCCTTTTTAGTTGTTCTATTAATTGAACTACATTACACAGTATATGACTTGTTTTATAAGATGAAATTCCATTAACTAATGCAGATAATACACTTTTTGAATCGGTTACTACTACAATATTTACATTATTTACAAGGTTATTTACATAAGTTAGAGCTTGCTGTATAGCATAGCTTTCTGCTGTAAATATACTACAGTGTTCATTAATTTTGATACATTTAGAGTAACCAGCCTGGGGATCATAATAGGCTGATTTGACATTATTATTGTCTTTAGAACCATCAGTATAAATAAAGTAATAATTCATATAGCTGTGCTTAAATTCTAAAAAGTCGTTGTTATTAAAAATATTGTTCAAATGGTAATTAAGTGAATCAACATTTATTAAACTTTTAAATGGGTATGTATATATTGGCCACATTTCACTGTTATGAATTCGGCTCAGCTTTCCATTATATGTAATTGAGTTGCAAGCTGAAATTTTTGTCACGCAAAGTATTAAAAACACGTACATGAAATCTTTTTAGGCGGAAACGAATAGAACTCGAGAAAAAAAATATTGAAAATTAATATTTTTGTAGGTTATGAGTCAATTTTGACAGCAATTTTGATCAGTGCTGCCATTTTTTTATGCAAAAATAACATGATTCTCGTTGTCTATGGTAAATATAAGTTTATTATGTTGGTACTATTGTCAAAATGTGACAATTTACCGCCATTAATGAGATCTGGCAGTCAGTGTTTGTGTTCGTCGCAGTTGAGAGCTTTTTCGTACTCCTGTTGATATTAACATTGTCTGACTACCATGGCATCCTCAAAGCCTTCGGCCTCGAGTCTTGCTGTCCCATCGCCTGAAGAGTCGAGTGTAGTGCGAGTTTTGGACTCTAATGAGCCACTTGTGTGGTGATACTTCACACTAGGTTAGGTTAGTGTTGTGACCTTAACGCGCGAGCCGAGCGAGCGAAGCGAGCGTGCCGCGGCAGCGGCCGGCGAAGCGCCAGAAAGAAAAAAATCAAATATCACCTCTAGGCCCTGGAAGTACAGTTTTACCTTTAAAACCCCTCTATATTTTTATAATTATCATTTCTGTAAAAAAAAAACGACCCTTCTCTCTGAGGGGTCTTCCCTAATACCTATCCCCCTGAAATTCCACTACATATAACAGATTTAATGAATTTTTAGGTTAGGTAAAAAAAAAACTGCATTTCCGCCAAAAATCTTTTATGGCGGGGGGTCGGGGGGAGCCCCCCCTCCCCCTCCCCTACAAATTACCCCGAAATTCAATTACATATAATGAAATTAAGTACCATGAATTCCGTAACAGTTGTTTTTTACATGAGTGAATATTGTTATCATTTCAGGATTATTGAGCAGAGAATCAACAGTAATGTTTGGGGCTGCCATTGATTGTAAAAGTTGTGACATTTGATTGAACTTTTCTGTAAGGATATTATTAGAAGATAAAACCTTAAGATTGAATTTCATAGCTAATTGCAGTTGTCTCAAGAACTATGGAGGTATACATGTTTCAATTTCTAATGAGTTTATAGGAGTAGATCTCATTGCTCCACAGATTAACCTCAGGCCTATATTTTGAATTATGTCTAACTTCTTAAGCAGTGTGCTACTGGCATTCTTATAAGCAAAACTGCTATAGTCAAAATGGCTACGGACTATGCTTTTGTACAGCATACTAATGGTCTGAGGATCTGAACCCCAAAAAGTTCCAGCTAAATATCTTAGAACAGTTACTGCTCTTAAAGCTTTTGTACTAATGTGATCAATATGTTTGTCAAATTTTAGCTGGTTATCAATGATGACTCCTAAAAATTTATGTTGACTGACAATAGGAATCTCTATATTATTGTATGAAATTTTTATATCACAATTAGTTTTACTGAAAATTAAAACAGAACTCTTTTCTGAACTTATATCTAATTTAAGCTTGTTGTTGTAATAGTATTGTAACTGCTCTAAGGCATTGTTAATGTTGTTTTGTGCAATATTTATATTTTGATTGGTACTGTACAAAAGCAAGTCATCAGTAAATTGCAATATATTCACATTTTCTGTATTTACATACTTTAAAATTTCCGAAGTATACAAGTTATATAATAAAGGAGATACAGTGGCTCCCTGCATTGTGCCCTTATTGGCAATCTTGGGACCATATAATTTATTATTGAATTTCACATACACTGTTCTTTTAGTTAGAAACTTATAGAGCTATTTTATTGTTTTTAGTGGTATATTACTGTTGTGCAATACTTGTACAAGAACTTCAATATTAACATTGTCAAAAGCACCCTTGACATCTAAGAAAACACAGATCATGTTAGAATGACTGAGTTTGACTTGTTTAATATCAAGAACCTTTCTAAACCCATGTTGGATTGGAGGAATCAACTTGTTGGTTTCTGAAAAGTAATCTAGTCGGAACTTTAACATATTTTCAAATAATTTCCCTAAACAAGATGATAATGATATAGGTCTATAAGAGGAAGTAATACCATGTGTTTTATTTGGCTTTAAAATCGGAATTACACATTGTGTTTTCCAAGATTCTGGTATAATGCAATATTCCCAAAGTTTATTGTAGATGTTTAAAAGAATGTTAAGTGCATTAGGGTAACTTTTTAATTAACATATAAGGTATATTATCCAGTCCTGGTGTGGTATCTTTCCTACATTTTAATGATTTGATAAGTTCAAAAGTAGTATATGGTTCATTAAGAAATGTATGTACAGTGTTTTCCTCAGAGTGAAGCAAGTTTAAAAGTCTTTCCTCGTTGGTTTCAGTTGCGTCAGATAAATTATTTAAAAATTCTGGAACCCATTGATCATCGAAATGCTTGTTAGAGTTATCTACCCTTTTAAACTTTTTTATTTAATTCCATATTCTGGAGACAGGTGTTAATCTATTAAAACTACTGCATAGCACTTTCCAAGACTCTTTTTTTTCCTGTTTAATAATTAGTTTTTTATAGGCATCCATTCTCTTATACTCTATAAAGTTAGAAATAGATGGATTTAATTTATACATCCACAAAGCTTCTTTAGATTTTTTAATAGCATCCTCACAATTTTTGTTCCACCAAGGAGCTGGTTTCCTTAACATTTTTTGATTAGGTGTTCCCTTTCGTTTCGGTATTGTTTGGTCCCTTATATTAAATTCAAATTCAAACTCATTTATTCAGTCTAGGCTGTTACAAGCTCTTGTGAAAGTCAAACGCTACGCCATCAGTTCGTAAATCTACGGCGGGAGACCTTGTACTGAGAAGAACCGGCAAGAAACTCAGCAAGGGCTATTTTTTTCTCCCTGTTTTGTTTCACACAGTGTCGTCAATTGAAAGATGACATCAAAAATTGAATACATGTGTTGATGTCAACTTCCATCACATTAATATTATTAATTAACAAAAGTTAAGTATAGCTAGGAACTATTTGTAAATTTAGAAGTGGCGATTAAACAATTTTCAACCAAATTAGCAAAGTAAAACGACAGTCTATTATGTTAAGCCCAAGGTGACTTATCATTTATGAAGTCTTTTACAGTATAGTAACCTTTCTTAGGGAGACATGTTTTTATACACACTTTAAACTTATTAAAAGGTAAATTAATTATTTCTTTTGGTATTTTATTATAGTAACATATACCTTGACCCACAAATGAACCAAGAACCTTTTGGAGTCTCAATGGTGGCAATTTGAGTTTATCTTTATTTCTGGTATTGAAATTATGTACATCATCGCGCCTCGTATATAAATTTATGTTCTGACGCACAAACAATATACAATTGTAAATGTATTGAGAGGCAACAGTCATTATACCTATTTCTTTAAATTTATCCCTAAGAGAAGTTCGAGACCCCAAGCGGTAAATAGCTCTTATAGCTCGTTTTTGAAGAACAAAAACTGTTTCAATGTCTGCGGCCGTGCCCCATAATAGAATGCCATACGACATAATGCTGTGAAAGTAGCTGAAGTATATTGTCCTAGCAGTGTCGACATCTGTAAGCCGTCTTATTTTATAAATTGCATAAGCAGCAGAACTTAGTTTACCGGCTAGTGTTGTAATGTGAGGGCTCCATTGAAGTTTGTGGTCTAGTGTTACGCCTAAGAAAACGGTTGTATCGACTAAAATTAGTTTTTCACCATTTAGAATTATATCCCCCATTTCAACATGCTTTACATTCGGCAAAGTAAATTTCACACATTTAGTTTTGCTCGCATTCAGTTTAAGATAATTAGAAGAGAACCAGTGAAGTACCTTGGAAAGTGCATTGTTTACATCGTCATAATTTGTTTTACACCTGTCAACGTTAAAAATTAGCGAGGTGTCATCTGCAAAGAAAACAATTTCACAAAAATTTTCTACAAAGAAAGGTAAATCATTAATGTAAATTAAAAAAAGAAATGGACCTAAAATTGAACCCTGAGGAATGCCTATTTTCACATGAGATCCGGCTGATTTTGTACCGTTAATATCAACTATTTGTGTCCTTTCTGTTAAATATGATTGCACTAATTTTTGTGCGGAATCTTTTATGCCGTAATGATTTAATTTCCGTAACAAAGATTGATGATTAACGCAATCAAACGCTTTAGATAAATCGCAGAAAACCCCAAGAGCATTCTGCGACTTTTCCCAAGCATTAAATATATATTTTAGCATAGTGGCCCCAGCATCAGTCGTGGAACGGTTTTTAGTGAAACCGTACTGCACTCTGTGTAAAAGTTTATTAATGTTAAAATGAGTCAACAATTGTTCTAACATTATTTCAAAGATTTTACTCAATGCTGGTAATATAGATATTGGCCTATAGTTGCTAGGATCTTTACAATTTCCAGACTTAAATAAAGGTATGATTTTACTGAATTTCATAAGATCAGGGAATACTCCCTGATCTATACATGAATTAAAAATATCAGCTAGGTAAGGGGCTATAGAATGTATAATATTATTTATGACTTTGACAGATATACCCCATAAATCAGATGCATTTTTCATTTTTAATGAATGGAAAACTTTAATTATTTTAAAAGAACTAACGTGCTTGAAATTAAATAATAAACCACACGGAGGTACATATTTTTGTAACAGAGCTGTAGCAGTATCAGACGATGAGTCCAAGTTGGAAGTAGTTTCTAATGGTATATTCATAAAAAAATTATCGAAAATATCTGCGACTTCATGTTTCGATTTTACGAGATTATTATTGATTTTAAGAACCATGCTATTTTCACGAGGCTTACACTTGCCACTTTCGCGCTTAATGATATCCCAAGTGGTCTTTATTTTATTACTAGATTTTTTAATTTTATCCCTAATAAAATTGGACTTTGCAGTATTACATATGCTTTTAAACAATTTGGAATATTTTCTAACATAGTTAATAAACTCAGGATCCTGGTTATATTCTTTGATTCTATAAAGCTCATACAGCCTTGTTCTACTCTTATATATACCACTTGTCGCCCAGTCACAGAACTGCAATTTCTGTGTACATTTAATGATTTTCAGTCTGAACGTATTTTGAAATTCATTATTTATTAAATTAAAAAGATTTTTGTACAAAATATCCGGATCATCATGCGTCCAAGGCATTAAAGGAAGTTTATCGCTAATGTTATTTTTAAAATTATTAACGCGCTCATTTGTTATAGGTCTACACTCTATTATGTTCGGCTCAGTACTGACATTGAAACTATATGTTGTCTTTAAACCGAGATGATCGGAAGTAATATCACTAAAGACTGACTTTTCAATTGCATCCAATTCAGAAAAAAAGTTGTCTAAACAAGTGGCTGAGTGAGATGTTACTCTGGTTGGTTCAGTAAACTGGAAATTTAAATTAAAACATTTAAACAAAGTAATTAACCGAAGACTCAAAGAGCTATTTTCAAGTAGATTGACATTAAAATCACCACATACTATTACAGATTTATTTTTTAATTTATTGAGAGAGTCCTCTATGACTGATTCAAATGTACCAAAGTTTCCTGAGGGGGGCCGGTATACACATACTATATAAAAATTTACTAACTCTACACACGACAGCTCAACATGGCGTTCCACTGAAAGGCTTACAATGTCCTTTCTTTCCTTACATTTTACATGATGTTTTACAAAAATTAAAGACCCTCCATGAATAGCTGTCCTGCGTACAAATGCACTAGATAGTTGAAAATTGTTTAAATAAAATGACATTTCATGTTGTTGCAGCCAGTGTTCAGTTATGCACATGATATGAGTTTCATGACTTTTAGCTAATAATTCTAACTCTAAGTCTTTGCCGGCCAAGCCCTGGATATTTTGGTGAATAATATTGACATAATGGGGCTTAGCTTTTGTCATACGCTTCAGTTTAAATCTAAAGAGTTTATTGTAGAACTACAATTTATCAAAATAAAAGAAATAACTTTTACTAATATAAACCACGAAAAATTGTATTAAAAATAATTATTTAATATATTTACAAATTTGATATACAACTGTAATGGCTGATCATTTTCAATATTTAATTCGGAAAAAGCTATTTCTGAAAGTGTATAATATTCATCCCAATTTGCTTTGCTATAAATATATTTTTCTTCAACAGGACCAATTTCAAACTGTGATGGCTGGATATTCAAATAAAGAGAAATTGGGAAGTGATAACTGCCCATGGGATTGTCTTGTACACACCAATCACATAAATGAGCAATGGAGGGGCTCACAAGTGTTATATCTATTGCAGAGGGCTGTCTATTGGGATGTGGAAAAGTAGTTGGAGTGCCATTGTTCAAGATGCATAAATCAAACTCATCTATTATATCAAATAAGCTATTACCTCTGCTATTACTACTCTGACACCCAAAAGCTACATGATGAGCATTAAAGTCACCCATGATTATACATGGTTTGGGTAAATTCTGTATAATGTTTTTTAATTTGCTGCTATTGAATCTACCATTGTTGGGTGGACAATAAACACATAAAATAGATATATCACCAGATTGCGTTTTTAAAGTTATGGCTATGTTCTGAATAGACCCGTAAATAGTTGTGTTTAAAATACTGTATTTTAAACTATGTTTAATTAAAATTCCGACACCATTACATTTATTTTTAGAATTCTTAAATATAAAATTATAGTTAGGAAATCTTGGAGGATGTCTATTTTCTGTTAGCCAGGTTTCATTAAGTAAACAAATGTCAATATTTTTTTCCAAAATGAGCTTTTGAAGTAAGGTTTTTTTGCTCTGTAAACTTTGTATATTGTACTGAATTATATGCAAATAATTATCCATTAAATTAAATTTGACAAAAATATATCTTTTATTTTCTTAGATGTTAAGGGGGCTTTACCATTGTTGTTGCCTAGAGGTACAAGGGATTTGACTATGGCATTAAGTATTATTTCATTATTAGCAATTAGGTTGACATCAAAGTGGTCATTATTTCTCTTATAAATTGGTGGGTAAGATTTCATATCATTTATAGCTGGGGGAGAACTCACCACAGCGGCATAGTTTTGCTGAGTATATTTAATACGTTTTTCTTCTATCTTCTGCTTCTTTAATGGACAGTCCCTTGAAATGGCCAAGTGATTGCCACTACAATTTATGCAGACAATTTCTTCCACATCACATTCTTTGTAGGAATGTTGACCAGCGCAAGATGAGCACATTTGGGTACTTCTGAAAACTTTAGCCGAGTGATTGAATTTTAGACATTTGAAACATTGTAGTAGGGGGGGTATATACTGGTGTACTTTATATCTAAAAAGTTGTATATAGGCATATTTAGGCAGGCAGGTTGTTGCAAAAGTTACTGCAACTGTGGTTAAAGGTGTGAGTGTGTTGTCCAATTTTTTCATGAAGCGCTTAATGGATATTACTTCTGCATCACAAACTAAGTTTTTGTATATATCTTCATTTGTCATGTCTGTAGGAAGGAACAAACTTGAGTACACCAATTTTTTCCGTTAGATGAGAAAGGATGAAGGCCTTCATTTTATTAATAGATAAAAAGTCATCCTGTTTCAAAAAATAGTTAGCGGAGGACGCTTTTTTAAAAGTCACCCCAATTTTATGAGCGTTCACATGATGAACCCCTACTATATCTGTAACATGTTCGGTGAAAAGTTTAGTAAGGGAAATAGGGTTTCGATTTCCTATTTTGTCTTACTCAGTGGATACCACATAAACGACAAACTCATTTGTGCTGTTATCTAAGAAAAGACGTTTATAATTGGGTTTGATAAAAACATTGTACTTTTCATTTTCTTTCTTTCTCGAATTATTAGATATATTATTATACTTCCTTTTCCTCTTCTCTGCAGGATCTTCCCCATCACTATGGGTGCCCATCTCCAATCCCTAGCAGTTTTTCCCGTTGTTTTTGTGCGCAGAAAGGCTAATTAAAGTTAAAAATTAATTATGAGGAAAATTAAAAGCTCCCGCTCAGTTTGACTTCCCGCCAAAAAGTCTAACTAAATGCCGGCCGATCAGTGTTGCCACCTTGGATTTTTTAAGGCGCCAAGTTAAAGGTAAAATACCGCCAGATTTCAAAAATTTGAATTTAATAAAATACACCAAAATCCGCTAAATTACAATTACATCTCAGACAATAAAAAAAATGGGTGCGTGTACTTATGTAGGCGCGTGAGAAGTTATCCTTCTTTGGCATCGTTTAAAATTAGTTTTTAATTGCATGCAAATAATTAATTACAATAAATTAATAAAAAGTCTGGAAAAGGACACAGTCAATAAAGTTCAGTTTTAATTTGAAAAAATAAATAAATAATCAAAATATTCAATTAAAATTGCTACTGAATATAATTTATTAGAACATATGTGATTTGCACTTGTATGAAACTCAAACACGTATTCCGAATATACAAACTAGAAACATGTGGATAAATATTATAAATATGAATACCTATAACTGTTACTTTATTACAAAAAATAAAGATGTGGTTTTTGGTTCTACTACACCAATGGTCAATAGATGGCGCTGTAATCTCCTGAATCGCGCTTTGGTTTCGTTGTTCCAGATTAATAAATACTTTTGATAGGCCTTCACAATGCAGTTGTTAGCACCCGCAAAATAGAGATTCTATTTTGTTGGTAGATTTTCTTAATGTGCGGTAAACGCGCGCATCACTGTAACACAAAAGTAACATAATGAAGTTAGCCGCGGGCGCGTTATGAAAAAATTGTGAGAGTGAAATTTTAAGATGCGCGCGCAACACTGTAACAGAAAAGTAACACCATGAAGTCGGCCGCTAAACCGCACATTACTCGTAAGTCTCGAAAAAGCTTCCAACAAAATAGTAATAGGATCTCTTAGTCGCACATGTTGGGACGCTCGTCGCCTCTGATCACTGTTTTCATATTTATAATATTTATCCACATGTTTCTAGTTTCTATATTCTTAACACGTGTTATAATGTTATACAAATGCGAAATTTATATGTGCTAATAAATTTTATTCAGTAGTGATTTAAATTGAATATTTTGATTATTTATTAAATTTTTCAAATTAAAACTGAACTTTATTGACTGCGTTGACTATCCTTTTCCAATCCTTTTATTATCTTATTGTAATTAATTATCTCCATGCAATTAAAAACTATTTTTTAATAATTCCAAAAAGAAGTTAAACTTCTCACGCGCGTACTTAAGTACACGCACCCATATTTTTTTATTACCTATTTCAATTTATGTAAGTTACAGTTTTCGAACGCACTTCAACTATCCACTGTTTGCTACGTTCCATTTTACACACTGCCACTTGTAAATATTTGTTCAACCGTTTTTTATGCGTTTCAAATACTTTTACACTGTATTTTATGTGTATGTTTTTCTATATCAAACTCTTACTACAGAATAATTTAATTTAATATTATTATCATTTCACAAATGCGTCGTGCAGTACAATTGAACGATTTGTAAAATGGATTTCTTTGACATAATATGACCGGTGTTTGACAACCCGCCCTGCACAGAGTTTGTTAATTAGAATGCTTTGGTATTTTCTTTATAAATAAATAAAATAATGTAGGATTGCTGTAAGATGAGTAAGCATGGCCAGTGGTATATGCTTTAAGTTTATGATACATCATACAAAAATACATACAACCCTAAATTTTCACTCTTCTACTACGAACCCCTATTTTTTTTACTGTGAAGTTCGCTGGGACTAGTATTACTACTGGCTATAGTGAAATAAAATTGGTGTGATTTTGTGTTTCAACCGCCTGCGCATCTGAAGAATGAGTGGAATCTTTTAAATATACGATATCCGGTCAAGTGGACATGAGAACTTTATTGTAATGTTGACTACCTCACAGAAGCTTATCGATAAAGCCAACTCGATACATTTCTTGCCAAAAACTCCAAGAAACGTTAAAATGCGTCACACCGACATTCTAATGTAAAAAAAGAAGATTAAGATTTGTATACGACTGAAGAACTTGTATCCATGGTCATGAATAAAAAAAAAGTTAAAATTCGTGCCTGGGGTGTGGGCCTCAGTTGAGAAGTATTTTGATGAAAAAGCGCGGGAAACCTTCAATTTAGGCGGACGTACTTTTTGGGAAGATTTTTTATTTATTTCTATTAATAGTCATTGAGATCAGATAGGCCCTTAGTTTAGTGTATATTTTAATATATATTAGTAGTGTATAATTATATTCGCTGTATTGGTAAGTTATTAACATTTCTTACGTATGAATGACCCTTTAGACCCTGGGGGGACAGCCCCCCAGGTGTCGCATATTGTTACAATTCCATTTGATTGTAATGAAAAAGAAATTTAAACAGAGGGCTCTTTAATTGACACTGATACTTCTGATAACAACTTTAATAACAATAAACGTAAACGAGTCTCATCCCGAAAAATTTGCAAGCATTGCAACAAAAAGAGAAGGCATTACAAATCCTCCTCAGTGGCTTTTAATGAAAAAGATTGTCAGTGTACTGACGATAATAGTCATTTTGAAGAAAACCTCCCCACTAAATTTAAATCTCCAAAAGTTCCTACTGCTCCAGTATCACAAGAAATAATAAATGTAAATAATTCAAATTCCTCTCCTAGCGAAGTAAGTAGAAACCTGTATCAGGCATCAGATGCCGCCCCGTATATTATACATATTCAGAGGGAACAGACCAGTGCCAGTGATAACACCTCTATTCACCCCATTTCGTTTGGCCATTTCCTCAAAAAGAACAACATTAAAAATATTGTCAATGGAAGCCTTAAAAGAATTGGAAGGAATCGGTTACTTTTGTCATTTACTCATTTAGAAGATGCAAATGCTTTCATTGACAATCAAGCTTTGAAACAGCATAACTACAAAGCATTTATTCCTAGTTTTAATATTACTCATATGGGGGTTGTAAGAGGTATTCCCACTGACTGGTCCGAAGCAGAAATAATGGAAAATATTACTGTTCCATTTGGGTGTGGAAATATACTCAAAGTTAGGAGAATAAATAGGAAACATATTGTAGACGGCAAAGCAACATTCTCTCCAGTGGAGACTGTGGTGCTTACTTTTGATGGCCAGGTTTTACCTAAAAGAGTTTTTCTTTGCTTCAATGCTTTACCTGTTGATTTGTATATTTTCCCTACTGTACAGTGCTTTAATTGTTGTCGCTATGGTCATATTAAGAATCAGTGTAGATCTGTTCCAAGATGTTTCAAATGTGGCAATAGCCACGCTGGTGAGAGCTTTAATATTGATGATGATGATGTTGTGTGTTGCTTGTGTTCTGGTTCTCACTATGCGACCAATAGAAAATGCCCAGAGTTTGCAAGACAGAAATCTATAAAAGAGACCGTGGCGAAAAATTGTGTTTCATATGCTGAAGCATTTAAATTACATCCTCCAGTTATGAAAACCTATTCTGAAGTGTTATCTTCCACAGTATCTCCATTGTCTCCTACAAAACAAAAACATACAAATTATAATAATGTAAACAAATCTTCCTATAAAAAGACATATTTTGTGAAATCAAATCCACCCAAAAAGGACAGCATAGGGTATGATAAGGTAGCCCATGCTGCATTAACTCAGAACTATGATATCCCTCTACCATCAATTGGCACCTTGAAAAATAATCCTTTATCTACTTTGTCAATAAAAGATTTAATTATTGTTTTAATTAACTCACTGTCTCAACAAAATAATTATTTTGAACTGTCCAACATTGCTATTTTAAATATGAATAATTTAATTAATAATAATGATACCAATAATGGATCTTCAGTCCACAATCCTTCAGTGGAATTGCCGCAGCATAAGGAATAAAAAGTCAGACTTACTGTATATTATTAACATATACAAACCAATTATTATGGCACTACAAGAAACATGGCTCCAACCCAACACTAACTTTAATATTTCTAATTATTTTTGTTTAAGAGAAGATAGAATGGATAGCTATGGTGGTTTTGCTTTATTAATAAGTGACACTGTTCCTTTCCAGCATATTCCAATTACTAACCATAGTACTGTCTTCTCAATAATAGCTGCATCCGTTCAAAATAAATGCTTTGTGTCAATATACATTCCTCATCCGTCATCCTCTATATATGATGAAGTAGCAGCTATTCTATCGCGATTACCTAAACCTATTTTGATAAAGGGTGATTTTAACGCTCAACATCGATCTTGGGTAGTTCTAACTCAAGCTATTATGGCGCTAGAATTTTAGATATTGTAGATGAAAATAACTTTTGTATTTTAAACTCTGGCGATCCGACTAGACGCACACAGCCTAATGAAGGCATAAGCGCCCCGTATTTATCTATCTCCACCCCCAATTTAGCTTCCTTCTTTTCATGGAGCACGCTTTCCTCCACTTTCGGCAGTGACCACTTCCCCATATTAATATCATTCCCTAAAACAGTTTTATAATCGCGTCCTAAACGTTCACCTAGACTAAAACATAGAATTAGCAATGACAGTGACAGCTGGGAGAAGTTTAGGGAGCTAGTTGCGCAAAAAGTATCATCTCTTCCCGACGTTCAGCTTAATGATCAAACAATGTGCGCAGATGCGTTTGCGTTGGTTCTAATAGAGGCTGCTGATTCGACCTTTCTGCGTAAACAATCTAATAGAAATATTCCCTCACCGCCTTGGTGGGATTCTGAATGCACAGCAGCAATAAAGCGTAGAAAAGTAGCTGAAAAGAAATATAATAATAACAGTACAAATGACAACTTTGACAAACTTTCGCATATAATAAATGAAACTCGTAAACTACTAAAGAAAAAAAATGGGATGGTTGGAAGGCATTTTGTTCTTTCTTGGCCCCTGATATTTCCCCATCTGCTATTTGGACTAATATGCGAAGATTTAGATCGGCGTTCAGAGAACCAACTCAGAAGTTCATAAATGAGGAAGTGGCTGATAAATTCCTTGATAAATTAGCTCCCCCTTTTGTTTCCCCGGTTAATACACCTTTATTCAAATCTATTAACAACACGATTGATAATTTATCTCATGACCACGGCCTCAACTCTCCTTTTAGCCTAACTGAACTAAAATGTGTTTTGTCCTATGTAAAAGATTCTGCCCCTGGGAGTGATGGAATCCCCTATTCATTCATATCCCACTTAAGTGACGACAGTCTTGTTTACTTATTACAAGTGATCAACTCTATTATGGTTAATAACGGAATTCCTATATCATGAAAAACTCAGGAATTAATTCCTTTATTGAAACATAATAAACCCCCTGCAGATCCAAATTCATATAGACCTATAGCTCTGGCTTCAGTTCTTTCTAAAATAGCAGAACACTTAGTTAAGAACAGATTGGAATGGTTCTTAGAAAGTAAAGCTCTTCTTGCTTCCAGCCAGCATGGCTTTCGAAAAGGTAAAAGCACCATGGATAGCACAGACATTTTCACCACTGATATCAGATTAGCCTTCTCAAATAATCATTCCCTTCTTGCTGCATTTATTGATATATCTGGTGCTTAAGACAATGTGGACATCCAAATATTAAAAAACAAACTTATAAAACTAGAAGTTCCCTTGTTTTTGATCGATTTCATTATTAACCTTTCTTTCGGAAAGATTGATAAAAATAGATATGGGAGATGGCAATTTTAAATCTAGGCTGACATGGAGAGGACTACCTCAAGGTTCGGTTTTGAGTCCTTTACTGTACAATGTCTATACGTATGATTTGGAGTCTTACATCGCAGGTAGAGCTAACATTTTACAATATGCGGATGACTTAGTTTTTTATGTATCCGGATCATCTATTATTAAATTAAGTCAATCTTTAAGTAATGTGTTAACACTCTTAAAATCATGGTTAGATAATAACTCACTGAGTCTTTCTGTTTCTAAAAGTTGTGCCGTTTTATTTACAAGAATAAGATCACCCCTATCATTTTCTGTACATAATGGTAATGACATAATTCCAGTGTGTAATGAAGCTAAATTTCTAAGAATTATTCTAGATTCCAAATTAACTGGCTTATCACATTGCTATTATGTATCAGCTCCATGTTAAAAATTATTAAACATTTTAAGATGCCTATCTGGTGTTTGGTGGGGAGCTCATCCATCAGCACAAAAATTAATATATAATGCTATTATTAAAAGTATCCTTGATTATGGAACTTGCTTTCTGGAGCCCTGTAGTGCATTAGCACTAAGTAAGTTAGATGACATCCAGTCTAAAGCTCTTCGCATTGTAACTGGCGCCATGAAGTCAAGCCCTATTTATGCACTGCAGGTTGAATGTGTGGATCCTCCTTTAAAACTAAGGAGACAATTTTTATGTGATAAATTTCTATTTAGAGCTCTTCAACTTTCTGACCACCCTCTTTTTTACAAGTTAGACCATTTATTGCGTAAAATTAATAATTCGGCATATTGGAATAACAAGTCGCTTCCTTGCTTGGTAATCAGCTACATTAAATTTACTTCACTGCTAGCACCCACCCACCGATCACAATATCTTCCCATTTTTTTCTATTAATTATGAAGCTCTTACCATTTCACCCAAAGTAGTTTATTTAGACTCTTTACGAAAAGATAAAAATGCTAATATTAATCTAATGAGTATTATTAATACAGAATGGCCAGACTGGCATTACATTTACTGTGACGCATCTAAACATCCATCTACTGGGATAGTTGGAATCGGTGTTTACCACCAACAGTATAAAATAACACAAAAAATTAAATTACCCCCAGAAACCTCAGTATACATAGGAGAATGTTATGAAATCCTTAAATCATTAGAATACATTTTGCTTGCACAACTCAAAAAGACAATTATTTTCTCCGATTCCAAAAGCACTTTACAGGCAATAGAAAAATTTCCTTTTAAAGCTTCTTCTAACGCCTATTTGATCGATTGTAGGAAATTATTACTGAATTGTACTTTGAAGAATCTAAATGTGCTCTTTGCGTGAATACCTGGCCATAATAACATCATAGGCAATGAAGTAGCTGATAAACTCGCTAAAAATTCAGTGAATTGTGGTGACGTCTTTCCCTATAAAAATTTAGTAAATGATCTTGTTTTACTTCCTAAAGTACATCTACGCATATCTTGGGAAGAAAACTGGGATACTAGTAGTCGCACCAAAGGTAAACATTAAAAATTAATTCAACAATGTATTCCCGATAAACCATGGTTTTCTAAAATTCATTTAAGTAAGTTTGCCACATCAAGTCTCATAAGAATGCGCCTAGGTCATAACTGTTCTTCTTCCCACCTGGCTAAACTGGGCATAGTAAATAATAATATTTGTGCTTGTGGTACTGGAGCAGAAGACTTAAATCACATCTTCTTCGAGTGTCCCCTCAATGATTCCGCCTCTTTTATGGATTCATTAATATCCCTTAATGTACCTCTCCCTACTTCTATTCCTTCCTTATTGTATTATAAAAATTATAATATATATAACAAGCTATCTGAATTCCTAACTAAACATAATATAAAATTATAAATACCTAATTTATAACAAATAATGTAATGTATTTTATATACTTAGATAGACCTATTACTTACGTTTCAAATTAATTTTACGTACCTACCTGATCCTAATTCTTCCAAATTCCGTTTTACAACCATTTTATTTCATTATTTTGGTTTCCTTACCTTTTACCCTGTCGTGGCCAATGCACAAACCGTGCGAGCCATTATAATAATAATAAAAAAAGTATTTTGATGCAACAAAATGAATAAAACAAGAAATTGAATGATATCTATCTTGGCCTAGTACCTAATCTGTGATCTTGGCCCCTAAATTGAGATGGCGTGTATGTTCCGTAGAATTTATTTTAAATATACCAAGTGCATAGTAATTACTATTCTTGTGGCATTTTTCGTACAAATACTGGTTGCAATACGTTTCTTTCCTTCTATTGAAAACGATATAATATTAAAAAGAAATAGCCCAGTCTTTGAAAAGCAAGAGCTTGATGCCGTATCGGCTAGAAAAGTAATTTCTAGATTAACTGACGACGAAGGCTTTAGTTCAAGAATAAAACATCAAACTACCTCGCGTTTAAGACTAGAAGAATTAGATTTCATACCTCAATGTGAAATAAAAAGCAAGGAAGCTATATCAGCCATTCATCGTGCTAAAACACAAGCATGTAAACATGAAATAGTCAATGTGACTTGTCTCATACAAAGTAATATCTTTTATCCTAAAATCTTACCCAGTTATTGCTCAGCAAGAAATGCTACTTATGGTAAGGAATTGGGATGTTTCCAAGATGAAAAGAAACTGAGAATACTTTCTACTTTCTATGGAAATTATGTTAATTCAAACTCTCCAACAAATTGCTTAGATATCTGTATACAAGCAGGGTTTCCTTTTGCCGGTGTTCAATATGGGTGAGTAATTCTTTAATAATTTATTTGTTAAACTTAAATACTTAAAATACCTGCAGCTTAGGTGTCTGTTTTCATTAGTATATTTTTGTAAAAATAACTTATGCTTATGTTGCTTTCTTATAATTTCTGCCGAGGTTCAGGAGCCTGCCTGGACTCATCAGCTCAATGTCTAAGTAGGGCTGTCGTAATGCTGCTAAAACTGGTTTTGTCAAATGCTCCCTCAATGTCTATAATGAAAGTGCCTATGCATTAGCTCCCTATATCCTCCTCCATCATGCTTACCACAGCATGCAAAGCCGATTCTGTCAATTTACCTGGACTGTAGGCATTTTGATTTCGGTGAAGCATTGACTTCGTCAGTTGATTGTCTCTCAGTTCTTTGTCCCAAAGCCTCTCTAAGGATTTTAGGAAGAAAAAAGAGAGTATGATTTTGGCTCGCTATAGCTATATATCAATCAGCACTGGACCTGCGTGGTGGGTCATGGCCCAATCTCCCTACTCCATCCATAGGAAAGGCCTGTGCCCCAGTAGTGGGGACATTAATAGGCTGATGATGATGGGAGGAAAGTTACTCTGATATCGCTCCAGAGTTTGAGTGTGAACCGATAGTCCAGGCAAGCCCTTAGAAGAGCGACCAGGGTCTGTATAGGGAGATGACCTATCTCCCGCCCACTGAAGAAGTGCTGGGAAGATTTCATCTGGACCTGCAGCCTTGAAAGGTTGGAAGCTGTTTAATGCCCATATTACCTTGTCTTGTGATACTGTCTTGTTAGCTATGTCCGAACAATGTACGGTTGGTGTCTAAGAGCTTTACCCCCAGACATGTGTTGACTTCATCACACAGCCCGGAAAGTGTCTCTAGGAGTAGCCTCTGTGCTTCTTCTGGTGTTGAGGTGTATCTCCCGTCTGATCTGCACAACTGGCCCAAGTACTGTGAGTTGTCTTTGGTGCAGAATTTCCGCCATGACCCCTCGCTCCAGTGCGTTCATCTTTTGTAGTGAGATTGCGCAACTTTATATGCGTCCCAGTCTTGGTCATCACAGGTGTTCATTGCCCTGTTGAAGAGGCGTCTTACCTTTTTCTTATATTAAGCCTGATTGGGCTCAATGACAACATTCTCCTGTTTGTCCTTGGTTTCTACCGGTTCAGTCGTTGAGTGTCTGAAAAGTCCCATATGCACTTTACTATCGTCTGTATTAGCAATGAATATTCCCAAGTGGAATCAATCATTGATATGCAGCAAACTGTAGACAGTACGGAGGTGACTGCTTTCGTCCGATACTTGACCAGGTCTGAGGTCTCCTTTTTTTGGGCACCAGTTGCACATTTATTGGCGTCTGTCATAGTCATCAGCACACGGCAAATGGCCCACAGAGTATGAGAGTTGGAGAATACACATTTTATTAACACAACTACGGGGATGCCTTTGGGTCCATTAGCTTCCTGGACGTGTAGTGATTGTTGACTGATTTTAATATGCCTGCATAATTAGTACCACATTGTGGTGGTTGAGGAGCTCGATGGCGCAGGTGGCTAGCGCGTTCGGCTGCGATCGTTGAAGTTAAGCAGCTTTCGCAGTGGTCGGTCATTGATGACCGGTGATTGATGGTCGGTGACCAAAAATCTCGAGCTCCTCCGTGCTTCGGAAGGCACGTTTAGCCGTTGGTCCCGGCTGCATTTGCAGTCGTTAGCACCCACCAATCCGCACTGGGCCCGCGTGGTGGGTCATGGCCCAGTCTCCCTATTCCATCCATAGGGAAGGCCTGTGCCCCAGCAGCAGGGACATTAATAGGCTGATGATGATGATGATGACGACATTGTGGTAATGACGTTGGCAGTGCTCCCCAATTATGATCAACCTGTAAATCAACTCATGTTATAAAATATTAAGCTTATTTGAATAGGGTTTTGCAGGTCAGAATGTTTCTGTGGAGAAAATCGGCCATCTGAGTTAGCCAAAATTGAAAATAATTTTTGTGACATGCCATGCTCCGGAGATACCACCAAGATATGTGGAGGATACTTTACCATGAACGTAATGGAAACAGGTTTATCAAGTAAGTAAATGTGTACATTTCATATTTTATTCATGTGTAACATCTTAAGTGATTATATGTCATTTAAAATAAAAAAATAAAAACTAAAATAAAAAAGCCTTTATTAAAGCTACCAGTTTACAAAATTTGTTTGAAAATTAGTTTTTTTTTTCTTCTTTTGTTGTAAACGTAGCGTGTCAGTGACACAAGGCCTCCCCCTGCCTCTACAGGATGTCCAGCCGATGCTCGAATCTTTGGAGAAATGCTGCTTCCAATCTTCGCCACTCAGATCTGTTTAGGGCTATTCTTCTCCAGTGAACTCCCACCGTCTGTTTAATCTCGTCTGCCCATCTAGCAACTTGCCGTCCCCTGCTTCTTTTTCCATCTCTGGGGTACCAGTTGGTAACAACTTTACTCCATTTTTCTGATTGGTTACGTATTATGTGGCCTGTCCATCTCCATTTTTGTTGGTCTATTCGGGTCAGGATGTCAGTTACTTTGGTCTTCCGCCTGAGGTCTTCGTTTTTCCATCTATCTTTCTTTGTTATTCCTAACATACTCCTCTCCATAGCTCTTTGACAGTATTCGAGCTTATCTCGGTGTTGTTTTGTTAGTGACCAAGTTTCGCATCCATATGTCAGGCATGGCAGGATACAGGTATTAAATACTTTTCTCTTCAGTGATATACTTAGGTCTCTAGCTTTGGTTATCTCCTTCAGACTCCAATATTTCTTCCATCCATTGGCTATCCGTGAGTTCTTAGTCTTAGTAGTACGGCGGGCTGTTTCCGCAACTCGACACCTAGTGCCTATTTTGCGTGGGGATTGGCTTCAGTCCTGCCATCCCAGCTCCTCCAGAAAGCTCAGCAGTCCCCGAATGTTGCTGCAGGCCTCTACTATTGTCTTCGGGCTTCCCATTAGAGAAGTCCTTTGTCTTGCAACGCCCCTGCACTCCAGTAGGACATGGGCGCTCGTCTCATCCGCCTCCAGGCAGGCTCTGCACAGAGGGCTGTCAGAAATACCTATATTACAAAGGTGTTTTTAGAAGTAGCCGTGACCCGTGAGTATACCCACGATTTGTTTCAGGGCTTGTCTAGGTAGTCTGATTAACTTACGTGTTAGCTGCAGGTTTATCTTAGGAACGGCTTCCCTGGCTTGCCTGCAGTCCGTGAGTTTTGACCAGTAATCGTCGTGTTGTCGTTGAGACCGCTCCCTTATCCAGGTTCGCAGCTGCTGATAGGGTATGGGTATAATTGGCTCCGGACCAATGGCCGTCCTGCTAGACCCCTCCCTGGCTAAGCAGTCCGCCGCATCGTTACCCCTTGAGCCGCTGTGTCCTTTAATCCACTTTAAGGTCAATCTATTGTCGTTAGCAATATTAGTCAACTTACTGTGGCATTCGTAAATTAAGCCTGATGTCATTATATTGTTGTCCAGTGCCTGTAGGACAGAAGCGCTGTCAGAGAGAATACGAATATGTTTTCCTCTTACCCCGCGACATTCTATCGCCTCAGCAGCTCTAATGATGCCCACACACTCTGCCTGGAAGACCGTGTTATAGGCACCCAAAGCTGTCGAGATGTGTATATTCAGGTCTTCGGAGAAGACACCCGAGCCCGTACCACAGTTGGTTTTTGAACCGTCTGTGTAGACCCTCAACTCCTTATGCAGACAACGGTCCGGGGTGTCTTCATAAAGTTGAATTTTGTATTTTTTGTCAAATACGTACGTCTTAGGAATAAGGTCGTTTACTGCTGCAAAGTGCGAAAAGTGCCTGTGTATGTCTGCTAAGATGCTGGTGTGCGGGGAGTTGTTGTCTCTCCAAAGCCCCAGCATGCTTAGGCGCGTGGCTGTACATGCAGCTTCCTGTTGTATAAAGAAGTGGAGTGGTCTCACGTTAGGTATTGTCTCCAGTGCTGATGTGGGAGTGGTTTTCATGCAGCCGGTGATTGCACAGCATGCCCGCCTCTGGAGACGTCTTAACTTATTAATTGTCGTTACCTGGATTGTCTTGGTCCACCATACTACTGCTGCATAGCTGATGATGGGCCTAATTATGGTCGTGTACAGCCACTTAACAATGAGCGGTGATAGTCCCCAAGTTTTGCTAATCATTTTGCGACATTGCCAGAAAATGATGTTGGTCTTCGTTGTAGTTTTGTCTATGTCAGTCAGTCCCCAGTTCAGTTTGGAGTCTAGGGTTATTCCTAGATACTTTACCTCGTTGGAGAGCCTCAGTGTCGTGTTAAATAGTTTCGGTAGCCGATAGTCGCCTAATGATCTTTTGTTCGTGAACATGACCAATTCCGTCTTCACTTGGTGAACCCAGTGGCCTTAAGGTGAACCTTAAGGCCGTAGTCGTCACACCATTTTTCAACCACCTTCATTGCCCCTCGCATAACATCACAGGCGGCGCTCGCAAACTTACCCGGAATTATGATTGCAAGGTCGTTCGCGTAGCCCACCGTGTGGAAGTGAAGGTTTGTTAAGTTTGGTAATTAAGTCGTTTACAACTACATTCCATAGCAGAGGTGACAGTACTCCTCCTTGAGGGCATCCTTTAGTCGCCAATGCTCTGAGATGGTTGTCGTCTTGTAGTCTGATTAGTCTGTTACGGAGCATGTTACTTACCCAGTATATAATGGTCTCATCGACTCCGTGTTTGCCAAGTGCGTCTACTATGCTGGCGAAGCTTGTTTTGTCAAACGCGCCTTCTATGTCTATAAAGGTGCCCAGACATAGCTCTTTCCGTCTGAGACTATCCTCTATTTTACTTACGACTGTACTGATGTAGTGCAGATTCTGTCGACTTGCCTGGACTATAGGCATGTTGGTTCGGATGTAGTGGAACATTAACTAGTTGGTTGTCTCTCAGCTCTCTGTCGCACAGTCTTTCCAGGGTCTTTAGCAGAAATGATGAGAGACTTATTGGTCTGAAAGATTTCGCCTCGTTGTAGTCTGCCTTACCCGGTTTTGGTATGAAGATTACCTTGACCGCCCTCCAGAGCTTCGGGGTGTATCTAAATGCAAGACACGCTCTCAGGAGGGGCACCAGGATAAGGATTAGTGCTTCACCTGCCCATTGAAGCAGCGCCGGAAAGATGCCATCTGGTCCGGCTGCCTTGAATGGCTGGAAGCTGTTAATGGCCCACCTTAACTTATCTGTAGACACTGTCTTCAATGCAGTGTTCCAGGATTGTTCCGTGGGGGTCCAGCTAGTGTCATTCCAAGTATGTGTCGTGTGTATGATGCAGCCCGGAAAGTGGGTTTCAAGTAGTACCCTCTGTGCCTCCTCAGTTGTTTCTGTGAGGGAGCCATCAGCCTTCCGGAGCTGTGCTAGGTCTTGCTGCCTATCTTTAGATAGCAGTTTCCTTACCTTATTTGCCTTTGTGCATGAGTCTATATCTGAACAAAATTTTCTCCAAGACCCATTGCTCCAATGTCGGATGCGTCTCTTGTAAAGTGCCTTGGCATCTTTGTACGCATCCCAGTCCTGGTCGTCACATGTATTCATGGCCCTGTTAAAAAGTCTTCTTACCTTTTTCCTCAGTTTTCCAGCTCGGGACCCCACCAAGACTGGCTGGCACCCGAGCTGGATGATGGTGTACTAAGAGGACAGGCTCTCTGATAGCTTGAGATTATAACTCTTGTTAATTCCTCAGCTGTTTCGTCTATCTTATAAGTTTCGTCTAAATTACCAGACTGCAGATGTCGCAGTGACCGAGTTACCTGTCTGCGATACTGGCTTCTGTTTGTTTTGCTAGGTATGCGTCTAGATGGCTGGGTAACATGCTGTACCGCGATGTTGAACCTAATACACCTATGGTCAGAGCGGGATGCCTCTGGGGAAACGTGCCAGTCACAGATCAGATCCGCTGCTCTTCTTGATGCTAGTGTAAGGTCGATGATGGATCTGCCCCTTCTTGTTACGAAAGTAGGTTCAGATCCTGTGTTTATTATATTAAGTTTAGTGGTAAATAGATAATCTACTAATTCCTCACCTCGTTTGTTGCTATTCGTCATACCCCACAATTGATGGTGGGCGTTGGAGTCGGTGCCGATGATCAGCGCCTTGTCTGTTTGTTCGCAGTGTCTCACCAGCTCAGCCAGTTCCCCTGACGGAGCTTCCTCTCCTTCAGGCATGTAGGCAGAGGAACTACCAGGACATGTACACTTGGATTTTGCTGTTGTATAATTTGGATTGTTGTTATGTCGCTAGAACAAAATTGTGTCATTATTTTTGCCTGTAGGTGTTTTGAACATACTATGCAGGTCCGCGGTGAGCGGTTACCTGGGTTGTAAAGATTCTTACCACCGGTGTTGTTGAGGCCACATATGGTGTTGGATCTGATCCACGGCTCCTGGACCAGAGCAATAGCCCCGTCATTGTTATCCTCCAGCCACTTCCTGAGTTGAGCCGTTGCGGTGCGACTGTGCTGGAGGTTTGTCTGAATGAGCTTGACTTTACTCGGTGGAGGCGCCATCGGACGCAAGCAAAACATCGACATCCACCTCTTGCCCGATGTCGATTCCACCCAGCTTGTCAGCCCATTCGTCTATGACGTCCGCTGCTCCTTGCTCTCCCAAAGTGGGATCCGCCGGAGCAGGAGTTGTCGTCTCCTGCATCTGGTCGGGCTTTGAAGCTGCTATGCCCCCCGATGAGCCCGGCGACGGAGCAGATGTTGGTTGCTCTAAAGGCGGCAGGCTGTCCAGGTATTGACCACCCTGGTTGTCGTCTCCTGCGATGGCCTTGTGTAATAGCCATCGGTCTACGTCTGCCTGTTTATTTTGATAGCGCAGCAGCTTGGCTATCGTGTGTGGTTCCCTCGTACCCGGGACAAGTAATCCACACACCACCCTCTTCGGCCTATCAATTTGGCGCTGCACTATCAACTCGTCTTCATACCCCGGGACCTTTCGGCCGGCTACGGTCTTCTTGACCCACTCCAGCGTGCGGGGTGTCTCACACCAGAGGCTCAGAGCTCCACCACCAATGATGGGTTTACCCTTAAGGTTCGGGTCTTCGTCCGTTGAGGGTCCTGCCATAAGGAGTTCCTCTACAACGGCGTCCTCCAGAGCCTTAAGGACAACCCGGGCATGGGCGGCGCTGATATGTCCTGTATTTTTGCCCGTTATTACAACGAGCAAGTCAGCTGTAGCCGCATCGGCAAATGATTTTTTGTCAGCTGTTCGACGCAGCCCCTCGGGTCTAGGCTTCTTATGTTGCCCCCTTGGTGAGATGGTGTCGTCCAGTCTGGGCCTTTTCGAGGCCTCTTGTCTGTCCGTCTGTCCCTTATTTGTTCGTCTGTCCGTCTGTACATTAGTCGGTCTGTCTGTCTGTACTTGGTCCTGGGTTCCCTGACTCGTAACAGCCTGTTGAGCGGCCTTGGCTGCTGCAGTTTTGTTACGGGCCTTCCTAGCCCTCTGCCCGAGTCTGTGCCGGTCGGTTGTCATTTTTGTCTTGTCAACACTTGGGCCCCCAGTCCTGTCCACTGCCTTCCGATTCTTACGTCGGTAGGTAGCGACTTGCCAGGAGTCCAAGTCACCATCCACTTCCTGCGGCTGTTGCCTGTTGCCTACGCACGGGACGTAGATGGTACGTCTAGGTCTGTATTGGTCGGCCTGACACCGGGTTTCCCCTTCACCAGGTATACCGACTCTTTGTCTGTCTTGTTCGTCTGCCTGTCACCGGGTTTCCCCTTCACCAGGTATACAGACGCTGTTATGTCCTTGTCGTTTGTATTATGGGATCTGTTTGGTTCCATTACACGTGTCACGTGTCTATTAAAGTTTCATCCTCACCAGTCCCACCCGCCACGGAGCCACAACTGGGATGCCGATGTTAAAAATCAAGGCACCAGGATTGTGGTGAGGATATAGGGGCACAGGGTTTTCCTCACAGCGCGACATCGGGAACTGCAGCTACATGGCTGGTAGTCGATCCCAACTACCAGTGGTTCCATGCAGCCTTGCTCCTTCAGCATGGCCGGAGTCCATCGCTAGGTGTTAAAGTGACCCCCACACCCCTCGCCGGCGACCCATAGACGGTAGACGCCTTGACCGTTGCCTCGTGGTCGGCTACACCACGAAGTTGCCGTCTCGCTGGAAATCCAGGCCAAAGTGCTGTGTTGCATCCGGGGTGCCGCAGCTACCCTTTCCGCTCAAACACCAGGATCCCTTCATCCCTGCGCAGGTCATAGCGCAGGAGAGGCTGACGCACCACCAGGCCGGCTCCCTACTCCTGGTGGATGGGGGGGGGGGGAATCGTCTGACTGTTTCAGTTACGTCTGTTTCATAGGGAATCAGACCAATAACAGGCGGCAACCACGTGAAGGAAAACAGCCAGGCTTGTCTGGGGGATCTACACGACCTGCGCTCGCTCCCCAGACCATTAGCCAGATTACCAGACGGGACACAGAATGGTAAAATAGGTGATGTGTTAGGTTTAGCCATCATTGAGCTATATACAAACCTAACACAACCCCCGCCCTATCCGTGAGTTCACTTCTTTAGAAGTTTGATCTCTGGCTGAAATAATTTGATATTCTTGCACATACTCCAAAGCGATATTGTCGACTTGAATAGCGAACCTTAGATGACTTAGCCTTCTTCCATCTATCTTTAACCCATACTCGTCCCAGTGGAGCTTGCGGAAAATATCTTCCAAAACAGCAGAAAAAAGTTTCGGTGACAGTGGATCCCCTTGTCTTACTCCTCTTTTTATGTCGATTTTTTTGCCTAGTGATTCTTACTTTATTTTTGCTGAACTGTTTTGGTAGATTTCTCTTAAAACCGCAATATATGTTCCGGATACTCCTTGTTTTGCTAAAGTTGACCAGATAGATTGGTGGTTTACACTATCAAAGGCTTTTGAGTAGTCTATGAAAGCAATATATACAGATTTGTTTTATTCATTATATCGTTCCATAATCTGTTTAATAGTGTGAATGTGGTCAATTGTTGAATAATTTTTCCTGAATCCAGCTTGTTCTATAGGCTGATTCTCATCTAGTATCTGACCAATTCTATTTAATATTACCTTGGCAAAAACTTTATAAACATTGGACATGAGGCTTATAGTTGTTAATGTCATCTTTGGGACCTTTTTTGTGTATAAGTATTATGTGAGCTTCTGTCCATTGTATTGGTATGGTTTTATTATTTAATATTTTGTTGAAAATAGTAGTCAGAATTGGAGTTATTTCTTGGATTGTTCCTCTTAGTAATTCATTGGGAAGTCTGTCTGGTCCTGGTGACTCATATATATATATATATATATATGTCATTTAGGCAGTAATAAATAACATTATAAATAACATATAACATTAACATGTATGAAAGTTCCAAAAAGGTGATACTTTTAGAAACTGTTATCTCAAAAAGTATAAATGACCAAGTTTTGTAATTTATATTGTATTAATGATACATCATTCACAAATGGAATATGCTATCCTTACAGTAATGTTTTTTTTTTCAGAGTTTCTTCCACGGACTCCCAAGACCAATGAAAATAATAAAGAGCCAGTCAGGATAGTTTTTCTCTTGACTTTGAATGGACGTGCTTTAAGACAAGTTTATCGGTTAATTAATTCTCTTTACAGAAGCAATCATTATTTTTTTATTCATGTCGATAAAGTAAGTGAAATCTGTGTATACTGTTGTACTGTACCATATACTTACTAAATTAATTTTGATTCCCATCAAAAGTAATTGACTAGATAGGTATTAGCATCAATATCTAGTGCACCTTTTCCGTCTTTATAAGAGTGCTCGTCTACAATAGTGAGTGATCCTTAACTTTCAAATGAATACAACCAAATAATACTATTTTGTAGGATTATTTTCTTGTATTCAATATGGTTCCCAACACTCCACGTGATGTGATAAGACTTATAACTGGACGCCGCTGTCATCCGACGGTCGCTGGTCGATTAGCGGCCGGAGCGTTAACACTAAAGCTTTGTAGTGTTGACACATTCTAGACTTCACCATCGATAATATTTTATAATAAAAGTAGCAAGTACCTTGAAAGTAGATGAATAACGCTATGATGATAATAGGCATGTATTTTATTAATTAATATCAAAAGAGCAGTACTTATATTGACAATGGAAAAGCTAAATCAACAAAAATAATAAAGATGGAAGGTTTCTTTCTTCGCAAATAAAACCAAATTATTATACCACCTTATTGTAAATAACAGAACCATGAAAATTTAAATTTATTCCCATAAAAGTTACTTAGTTACTTTAATTTGCGAGTTAGATGTCATTTGATGTTAAGCGAAAATCAGCGGCCTGATACAATATTATTATCTAATCAAGCAAGATGTGATGTATATAGTATACGCCTAATACAAAGTAGGGTATAAATGATTTTTGTATTAGACGACCTCCGTGGCGGAGTGGTTTGTACGCCGGGTTTCATGGTGTCACCGACTCGAGAAGTCCCTGTTTCGAATCCCGGTGGGGGCAGATGATTGTGTGATAAATACGAGCATTTGTACTCCAGTCATGGATGTTTAATATGTATTTCTATATAAATATACTTATATATGTGCAGTATATGTATTCTATCAGTTACCCTAGCATCCCGTAATACAAGCCATATAGTGCTTACTTTGGGGGCTAGGCTAATTGGTGTGAGTGTTGGAAATATATATTTATTATTTTGGTTTGAAACACACCAAAATTTATATCGCTTCAGCGATATGAACTAAAATTTGGACACAGCTACTACCACAGAACACAGAAAGAGGTTAGAATAGCCTTGTGGGCGGGGCAGGCGCGTCACAGTTATGAGCAAATGCTCATAACTTGACCGTAACGTTCTATCGCGTCGTTTAGTTGCTCGCGAACGCTCAGTGAGAAAGTATTGTGATTACCGCTTAAAATATGCCTTCGTGTGCCGTAATTACTTGCAAAGTAAGGAGTCAATCATCAAATCTACCTAAAGCAGGAATTTCTTTTCATCGGTAAGTATAAAACTTCTTAGTTAGACTGATATTTTAGCAAAAAATCGACAAATATTAATTAAACGATAAGTCACATATATATTTCCACAAAAATATTCATTGCTGACAAAGTACACTCGCTATTTTTTCTACGACATTCAAAACACGAAATGTAGTACGATCGAGCAAGAATGACGCGTGGATCACAGAGCGCTGCACGTGGCCGCACGCAGTACAAGGTCATTGCACCTACTTTAGTGGTGTCTTACGTCGTACGTTTTACATTTTCGATAGATTTTATCGACTGAATTTTAGCACCTAATAATGGAATTAAAGTAACTTTTAGAAATAAATAAAAGCTGATTGTAAATGTTTATCATACTTAATATTATAAAGGCGTTTGTGTGTGTGTTACTTCTACACGTTTAGGAGCGATTTTAATAAAATTTGGTATGGAGTTAGCTGACGCCCTGGATTAACACATGGGCTACGTTTTACTGCGAGAAAATATCTCTTATAAACCGCAGGTAACACCGCAGGGCACAGCTAGTACAATATAAATATAAAGCTGAAGAGTTTGTTTATAGTCGAGTCAAAATAGACATTTGACTTAGGCATAATTCGCATAGAGCTGAAAATTGCCAGAGACGTTAAATACATCATTATAAATAAAATGTCAAAAATCCTACTTAAACGTAAAACGTACAAAATTGTGGTTTTTTCCATTTTTCTTGAAAACGGTAAGTTTTGTCGTGAAAGCAGGTCAGACAAAAGTTGTAGACCATACAATTGTCCACAAAAATGGTCTAGTCACTTTTTCTCTCACGGCTCACCATTCGTGAGATATCGCGGTTTTAATAATTAAAAATATTTTTTTACATTTCTGCACCACCTATGACGTAATGTAATTGGCGGATTTTTTTCAAAGTGGTTTCCTCAGTACGTTTACTCTACGATGTATTGTAATAAAGAAAGTTTGATCAGATCGTATCCTATTGATTGATAGAATGGTTATATTGATAATGATCAAATTGGAATAGGTTGTTTTCTTCTAAATGTTATTATATTAGATAATTGTCTAATTCTTCTCCGACAATTATTTCTTCGTCTTCATTTTCTTCTTCTTGCAGAATTTCTATTCACTGTTCTAAGAAAAGGGATGCAACAATTGTCTCTTCATTAACATCATAAATATTTTCGTATATTCATTTCATCTGTTGTATTTTTTCAATATAGGCTGGCAAGGCTGACCCTGACAATTGATGCATACTGGCGAAAAACATAATTCCACTTTATGACAGCCACAATTTTTACTACAATCCGTCTTGCATTTACAAAAAATAGGATTAAGCAGTTTTTCTGCAGCAGGCGGGAGTAGAGTTCGAATTGGCTCCAAATAATTATCTGTTTATTTCCAACCCCATCCTTCTGGGTCTAGCTCATTGTCTGGCCACATTTGAACTTGATAATACACACGATACAAGTGTTGAAAGGCGGAAGCAGATGTTGGAGGCAGACAATACCACTGTACTGTTTTATTGTTCCAGTCAGATTTATATCCCATGGTAGGCCTCAGAAAGATATTAAAACAGTTATTGTGGTACTTAGCTTTAGCAGCAACTAAGTCATACTTAATATGTAAAATATGAATTTTCTAATTATTAAAACAGCGATATCTCACGAATGGTGTGTCGTGAGAGAAAATTGACTGGACCAGTTTTGTAGAGAACTGTATGATCTACTTACAACTTTTGTCAGACCTGTTTTCACGATAAAACTTACCGTTTTCGAGAAAAGTGGAAAAACCCATAATTTTGTAAGTTTGACCTTGAATATTTTTTTTGCAGAAGTAGGATCGAAGGGGATTTTAGACATTTTATTTATATTGATGTATTTAACGTCTCTTCCAATTTTCAGCTCTATGCGAATTATCTCTAAGTTATGACTTATTTTTGTCTATTTTGACTGGACTATAGAGAAAATTAACTTGTCCACACAGTCAGTAGAAAGAGCCTGTAAAGAGCCATCTGAAAACGAAGAGGATGAAGATGAAGATTTTACTGATTTCAGTACACAAGTCATTGCCTACATAGCAGGTTCAATGTGGTTCATTTCCTAATAAAAAAAAATCAAATGCAATATTTGCCCTGGAGCCCTAATATCAGATTCAAGTAATAATTAACATAAATGTATTTCGTTAAAAGATAAAGGTGGCCTGATATATCCGTCCGTGGTGATGTTATAAAAATATGCAAAAGTGCAGAAACTGTAATATAACATGCAGATAATTTGAAAAATTTCAAAAAAGAAATTTTAGTCCCAGAAATATAAATAAAGTTTATTAGCACTTCATAATTTGATGACAGATCATTTCATCAAGTCGGTGAATTCCCATTATCTAACCACGTAACAGATTCAATTGAAGTGGTAATTGAAAAATATATAGATATACGTCTATATTTCTTTTAAAAAAATACTTTTGACTTTTGAGTTTGACAGGATACATAAAATTCCATACAATCAAGTCAAGTCCAACTCGTACTTGGCATATTTAATATCGATAATATTTCATTGGCTCAGTGTCAACCACAAACGCTAAAATCGGTGTGAACGAATGAACGCTCACAGTCACGGCTGTGAGCGCTGATTCGTTCGGTTGCTTGATGTCGCGTCGTTTGATTGGCTTATTATCTATTAGGTGGAAGTGTAGAGGGGACGAGCCGGCGACATCGGTTCTCATACTGGCAATCGCTTATTACCCTTCTAACCTCTTTCTGTGTTCTGTGGCTACTACGGTGTCCTGTGTTGGTGTGCCGTGTCGGTAACAAAAAGTGTCTACGTTTGCGAGCTCATACGTGATTTTCCTTTTCCACTGTCGATATAGTTTTGTAAGCTATACAACGATATTAAATACCCTAGATACAACAACACGAACAAAATCGTGGCCGAAACGTCTCCAAAAGGTACATTGTACGATCCACGGAGCTCCGTAAGATGATCGCGTGGTCAAAACCATATAAGGCATTATTTAAACAGTGAAAGACACCTTTAATGTATTCTGTATAAGGTCTTAATTAAAACGCATGCGTCAAAGACTTCTGAAAGTTTGAAATGCAAGCTCGTAAAATTACGTCGTAAAAACGTATTCTTTTGATTTTACGCGCAATTCTGAATGCGCTGTTAACAATATAGCAGGTCCAGACCGCGAGGAAAAGAGACGGCTATACGGTGTATAACCGTCCATGCATTTGAATATCACAGAAATTTTATATTAAATCAGTTTTTAGTAAGTATTAGAACAAAATTTTGCTCCAAATTCGTTAAATTAACTATCATTGATTAGACGCTTTTCGTACTATAAGTATTTTTTTCGCATTTTTTCACGGCGCTCTGTGGCATCTTGACTTAAAACTGTTTTTGTTCCAGCGACAAGACTATTTACACCGAAAATTGTCCGAGTTGGAGAAACAATTCGCAAACATAAAACTAGCTTCTCATCGATATTCTTCTATCTGGGGAGGAGCATCGTTGTTGCAGATGCTACTAACATCTATGAAAGATATTTCCGAACTGGGTTGGAAATGGGACTATGTAATAAATTTAAGTGAAAGTGATTTCCCTATTAAGTCTATAGAACATTTAGAAAACTTTTTAGCTGCAAACAAAGGATTAAATTTTGTTAAGTCTCATGGTCGTGAAGTTCAAAGGTTTATAAAAAAGCAAGGTTTGGACAAATCTTTTATTGAATGTGAAACTCACATGTGGCGTATAGGTGATAGAAAGCTGCCACGTGGCATAATAATTGATGGTGGAAGTGACTGGATAGCACTGTCTCCCAACTTCGTGTCATACGTAGTCGGTAAGCATGATGAACTCTTAACAGGATTGGATGTTATATTTCGACATACTCTTTTACCAGCTGAATCATTTTTTCATACCGTCCTCAGAAATTCTGCATTTTGTAATACATACGTTGATAACAACCTCCATGTCACAAATTGGAAAAGAAAGTTAGGCTGTAAGTGCCAATATAAGCATGTTGTAGATTGGTGTGGTTGCTCACCTAATGATTTTAAGACTGAAGATTGGCCAAGAATACAAAATACTCAAGATAGGCAATTATTTTTTGCCAGGAAATTTGAGCCTATAATTAACCAGGAAATCATTACAAGAGTAGAACAGTTTATTGGTTATGACGATCACACTATGATAAAAAATTACCAAGCATATTGGCAAAGTATTTACAATATAAATGATTTAACTGCAAGTTCAGATGATCTATTACTTACTCACGCTGGAAGCATAATTCGACATAATACAAAAATTTTACGAGAAGAACTTTGCATGGTTGAACCTTTTGAAGTGATTGAAATTAACTTATACAATTTCGCTGATGTCTATAAGGGAAATTTAATTCTACATAGAGTTATGTTAAACGATGGTGCTGAAATATTAATTGAAACCTGGTATAAACCAAAGAAGCATTTCGAAATCAACTTCGAGAACCGTTATGGCGATAGTGTTAAAATATTTAAAGTGAGCTCGGATTATGATCAAAAAGAAGTAATATTTCGAAACTTTGCAAATATTTTAGGACCATTATCCGAACCTAATTTACTGTATCAATTTTCATCAGATGTTGATAGTAAAAGTAATAACTTGACAGTAATATGGTTAGACCCTTCTGGTTTAATAGCCGAAGTAAATATTTTACATTTAGAAGAAAATAATCTGACGAATTTTATCAAACCATCATTAAAAGTTCCTTTACTTCCAGGTGTATGGAAAGTAGGACTTTTCGACAGATCAAATTTAGTTGTATCGACTAAGTTTTTGATTACCCCTTTAGAATATTTTTCGGGGAAAGAAATAACACAACAAGAAGTATCAATAATTCACAGTGGCTCACAAAATTCTTACAAAAAGTATACATATGTAAAACCACTCAGTTTTGTACCTAATACAGAAGAAAGTGCGTTATTGCAAAAAATTGTTCAAGCTAATATTAAAAGGGTGAAAAATGATCTAAAAGAATGGATCGATAATTTAACGTCTAGTTTTTATACTATATTAGGATCATGTGTTAGTGTTATTAATAAAAATTCAATAGGTAAAATCAAATGTGGTAGATATGAGTTTGATAATTGTTCTACAACAGCTTGGAGTTCTTTATCTCCAGATCCGAAAGGAACTATAGGTAAATTAAATGAGAAAACTGGACGGTTGGACAGAATGTGACAAAAATTTCAACATGCTGTGCAATACCTTTATGACATAAAATACCAAGTTATTCACAAGTTGTTGAGATTTACTGAAATGAGATGATAGTTATGCAAAATCTATATTTTAAATATTTTTTGTATGTAAATAGTAAATAATTGTACATAGTACATAATCGTTGCACGTTTGTTATTGTTAATAAACAATTGTTAAAGAACTAACACACCGAGAACTAACTTACCTCTATGATGTTAGGACAATACCCTCTGAGATAGCGCAAAAGTCATGTGATGACCTCAGAGGGTACATTTTTTGTGAGGATAAGAATAATAATGTTTTCCTTTACTTTTTTGTTATTGGGTTTCCCTAGTCAACAAGGTACCTTTATAATTTCACCATGTTCGTCGGTATGTCTGTCCGCAACTACTCTCATAGACTCTTACTTTAGTACCCAAAAGTACTAAAGAAAGAACAAAAAAGTTTATTACGATATCACATTTGTTTTACACAAAACCAGGGTTGGCGAATTAAGTGTTAAACACCTGTTCACCCAGTTTCATAAAAAATATTAGGTAATAAGGTGGTCAAATATATGTTATGAGCAAGGGTTCCATTATATCTTTGCATTTAAAAAGTCATCTAAATATTGTACACAACCAACCAGTCTTATATTCCCTCAGATCAAAAGTCTCCAAATACATATATACCATTTTAATGATCTTTAATATGTACACGTCGTAACTGTTCATTGGTATATAAGCATCCAGAGTACTCATACATATCTTCGCTTACATGGATTATTCTATTCAAATAAAAGTAAAGGCACACATATCAATTTAGAAAGGGATCGTCACCTTTCGAAAAAGTCGAATTCTTTATATAAAACCGAGAATCGTAACGTAATCGTCTCGACTCGGGACAAGCTTCCGAGCCGCGGCGCGTGGTCGACTTGCAGTTTCCGCGTTTACGTCTCCATAACCTAGCTTACGTCTCTTCGTCCACGCCCCTGACTCTCGTTCGAATTAAAACTGATTGAACTAGTGTCGCCTCAGCGAGCCGTATGCGCAGCGTCGCCTAGCCGTAGCGAGTCGATGTACTGGAGCTACTTATGCGCTTTCTCTAACAGGCTCAATTACCTATAGGTGAACGCCTGTTTGACGGCAAGCCGAAAGGCGAGAAGGTATCGATTCGCTTTCAAATTGACATTTGTGCTATGACATTTTATCTACTTGTTTCAAAATACTTAAGAGCCCTTTTACATTTTTTGCAAGAAATCGTAAATTTTGAGCGCCTTCTTTTCCCCTTTTAGAAATGATTTTGACTATTTTTGATACAAGTAAGAAGTAGATTTACCTTTCTTAAGTTAATGTAGAATATTTGCAAATATTGGTAGTTTTCCAATTACAGCAATATAGCGCATTATGCGGCATAATGCTTAACGTTGAATGTTTCAACTACAGCAACGCTTCGCACAATCGAGCTTTCTCAAAAGTAATGTTTTCGTGTGATGCGTGCAATCAATACCAACTCAGTGACAGAAAATTAACAAATGTATTTTTTTTTGCGTTAGCATTGATTTAAATGTTTAATTTATATATTATTGTAAGTAATATTATTTATTGTTGAAAATTTTGTAAAGCTTTCGTTTCATTGTAGTTTTTTAAAAATAATCAAAGTTAATTCAAACTGTGTTAAAAAAATAAATATGAGTATGGATGAAGGTACAAACATTGACTTTTTTTTCACATTCTAAATGTGAATACAATTTTATTTTAGAATCAAAGAAAGAAAGAATCTATAAACAAATTTTATTTTACAGGAATATACTTTGTAAACATTGCAATTGCTTGATCGAATTGTTTAATGCCGCAGGCAATCATCAATGTTTTTGTGGATGTGGAAAAGAACATATTTATCAAGATGATTTTCAACACTGAACTTAGCGCACTCTGCTGGTGCATTTGAAAACTAATTCACGTTCCAATTAAGCATCAGCCTAATTCGGCATTGTGCGCCACTGAGTCGCATTATGCTCTGTACTTGGAAAACTACCATTATTATCATTTTTTTATACTGAAAGTTCCACCTAGGATTGCCAACCCTTCTATATAATATAAGGTGAAATTGAATGTTTTAATGAAACTTCGCGGGAGTTTTGGATTACGTATATTATAGAGTATCTCTGATTTTTTTTTATGTTTGTGCCATTTTTTAAGTCCTCTTTTCACCTTTTCACTGTGTGATAAGACACGATTTGCAAATTGTGCCTCGATTAGTTCTTGTTCTGTGGCCTCGATATAAGAATTTGGACATGGTGTGTTGTTATTGCGAGTGTGACAAAATACTCGGCGGAGCCGCAAGGCTTTACGAAAGTAGATTTGGCGATTGATTCTGTTTACAAAGTGTATATGGGATCAGTGGCGTAACTATAGGGTGGCAAGTCGGCAAAATGCCACGGGCCCCCAGCCCGAAGGGGCCCCCGGTCAGAGGAAATCTCAATTCCCAACATTTATTATTACACATACACATTACTTAAGTAAAAAAAAAGTTTTGTCTTTAATTTATTTGTTACCTTCTTAGTTGCATACACAAGTAAAAAAAATATACCTAGGTATTAAACTTTCAATGCATTAGTAAAAAAAAAATTTAACCCAGTTTTAGAAAGAATGGTCAAAATCCAATTACTCGTAATAATTTCGGAAACATGTGTGTACAAACATACCTCAAAAATGTGTATATTGGTTTACATTTATATTCACTGGGCATGTCTCAGGGTGTCTCGCTGAGACTAAGTATACTGCCGGCATTAAAATCAGTGTTGCCGTTTTAGCGCATTTCGCGCTAGATAGTGCAATTCTAAACTCTTCAGCGCTTATTTTCTCAATACAATGCGCTAAAAAATATTTTTCGGAATCTAGTAGAAAATTGTAAAAATTATTGACGATCGTAAATTTAAGCCAATAAGTTAATTGCCAGAGCCGTAAAACGTTAGGAAAATAACGAGCTGGGAATTCCTCAAAGGATTTAGTATTCCCCGACCACAATGTTATTGATGCGTTTATTATTTTGTCTCTTTTTTACATTAAAGTGTTATGTTATGACTGTCTCTGATTTTACTAACAGAGTTCAATTATAATGATACGTCATCAGTTGAAAGTTCTTAAGAAAAATTGCCACACTTTTATGTTGCCTGAACACGGTTTGAAGAAAATGACTAAAATTGTAAAAAAAGAAACGGCATCTGGTGAAGGCACACCAACCGCACCCGAACGTAATGATGATGACCAGAAAGATATTCAGTTGATTTTGATAAATGTAATAATTTTAATTTTAATAATGGTTAATAATGGTTAAATAAATTCACATAAAAACACATCTTCTCTTATTGCCATTAAAAATTCACAGCTAAAATTTAGAGCAATTTTGAAATGAGTTTGGTGTATTTTTTTCTTTCTCAAACGGCAACACTGCTTAAAATTTATGTTGGTAATACTTGTTGATGCTTGGGGAATCCCCGATTCGAGTTTGTATATATGAAAAACTCCACTATTGTATTACGCAAGAACTCACCAAGCAATTAGCAGTTTATTGTTGTAAGAATTGGTTGTTTGTTGCAAGTGAGGATATATTTAATTAGTTTATTGTGAAAATAGGTTGACAATGTCTACTCGGTAAGAATTTTATTCTAATATTCAAAATAATTTATACTATTACAATTATTTTAATTTTTAATCTACCCATAAAATTAATCATTTACATCGTCGGTAGGTATCGGTAGTAAAGTTTGAAATCACAAGTTACGAAATTATTATTTAAAATAATGATTCTCATCGCGCATTTCAAAATCAATTCACTATTTTGACATTCGTAACCACCAAAACTATTTCGGTACCTATGTTCATCGTTCTTTCAAAACTTACAAAATTTGACACTTGAATTGAACTTTGAACAATCGGTGGACTTTCGTTATAAACATTTTTATGGTCGCTTTTTTGGCATTTCTTAGCAATTAAGTAGATTTTTCAATAAATAAAAACTATTACGAACAAAAATATTATTACAAACTTTTTGCGGTTTTGTTCTAGAAAGTGTCAGAGTGGAAGCGAAAAACGAAAGCGAAAGAAGGAGTCTGAAGAACAAAATAAAAAATTACCTAAAATAAGTCAGTACTTTAATAATCAAGATAGTATATAAGAAGAATCAAATGAACAGCGCGACGGAAAGGCAGAAAATGATGACATAAGTGGCAATATCGCAGGGCCCGATAACAGTGAATATTTAGATTCAGAGCAACCACAACCAGGTACGAGCAAATCTTTAAATGAATCATGTTTGGACATAGAAAAATTAAAATCTTTACCGCATGTTACTGATAAAGGTAACTTTAAAGAACTCAATGATCAAGTAAATCGGTTTGTGATCGAAAACGGACACTGTAAACCAAAAGGCCCCTTTTTGAGGGATAGTAACAATAGATCTTTCTTAGATAAATATTATTACACTGTTTCTAAATCTGGCGTAAAGTTAGAACGTACATGGCTGTCCTATTCTCTATTGCTTCAAAAAGCATATTGTGAACCATGTTGGTTATTCGCAAATAGGGCATCTAAAAATATACAAAATATTTGGATGGAAGGCTATGATGATTGGAAACATATTGTGGAAGCCATAGAAAGACATGAGACATCGAAAGAACATTTGCATTCATGTTTTGTACATCGACAGTGGCAGTTACATGGAACACTAGATGAAGAGCAAGAGTCCATTATCAAGAGAGAAAAATTTTTTTGGCGCCAGGTACTCACTAGACTCCTTGATGTTACTCTGACACTTTCAACCTGTAATTTAGCTTTTCGTGGCCATAAAGAAACGGTATATGGCAACGATTCTGGTCCAAAAGGAAATTTTTTGAGTATTGTTGAGTTATTAGCCAAATACGATCCTATTTTACAAGAGTTGCTAAGCAAACCTAAGGGCCAGATTAAATACTTAAGTCCAAAAATACAAAATGAGCTCATTGCTGTTCTGGTTCAAAAAGTGGAAAATGCTCTGGTAAATGAAATAGTCACCGCACCGTTTTATTCCATTTTGTTTGATACTACTCAAGATATTTCCAAAACAGATCAATTGTGTGAACTTTACCGTTACTGTGTAATCGAGAAAGATGAAAATGGAACTCCAAAGGCGCTCGTAATTAAAGAGTCATTTTTAGGATTTCATGAGGTTAAGGATCAAACTGCCTTAGCAATGTCCAAGCAGATAATAAAATCCATAAATGACAAAAGTATTTCTCTGAATAAGTGCCGTGGACAAGGGTACGATGGAGCTAATACCATGAAAGGTACTTATGGCGGAGTTCAAAAACTCATAAGAGATATAGAGCCAAATGCAGTGTATGTCCATTGTGCTGCTCATAATTTAAACTTGGTAGTAAATGATGCAGTAAAAGAGGTCATAGAAATACAAACATTATTCGAAACTGAGCAACAAATTTATAATTTTTTTGGCCATAGTATTAGACGATGGAATATATTATCTAGTTTTATATCTGACAACAAAAAAGGAGAAACCGTTGTATCATCAAATTCAGTAACATTAAAAACAATGAATCCAACTAGATGGGCAGGACGCTTTGATGCCATGTTTGCTTTAAAGGTTAGATTTGTTGATGTTCAAAAAGCGCTAACAAAAACCATTTTATCAAATTCCAAATCAGATGAGAGAAATGAAGCTATCTTGCTAAAGAAGAAGGTAGAGAACTACAATTTTATTATGTTGCTGGTTTTCCATTGCAAAGTCTTACAAACCATAGACGCGGCTTCTAAAGCACTTCAATCTAAAGCCATCGATCTTTCAAATGCTTCAAAGCGTTTGCAAGTCTGTCTAGAAGAACTTGAAAAGTATCGACATGAATTTGAAGATTTAAAAACGGAAGCAAATAGTATTGCAGTTAAATGGTCTATAAACCCTGAATTTCCTAAAACTCGTCAGAGAAAAGTGAAACGTCATTTTGATGAAATTTGTGAGGATGAACGTCTCCAAGATCCTGAAAGCTTGTTTAAAGTGAACGTATTCTATCGTGTATTAGACATCATCATTAATCAACTTAGATCGCGTTTCCTTGGAATGAATGAAATTGTTTCCAATTTTAGTGTCTTGCAGCCTGCCACTTTGCAAAACTTGAATGATACTGATTTATTGGAAAAGGCTTAAGCATTTGTCCATTTATATAAAAAAGATATATCTATGTCGTTTTCCAAAGAAATTTTCAGTTTTCGATCCTCTTTTAAACACGAAATAGAAAGGTCATCTTCTATAAGAGAACTTGCTGACTTATTAATAATAAAGAATCATTTTATATCTTCAAGCTTTCCTGAAGTGTGCACTGCATTTCTGTTATTTCTCACCATTCCTGTAACTACGGCTAGTGCCGAGCGATCATTTTCAAAACTGAAATTGATAAAAACTTATTCAAGAAATTCTATGGGACAAGAAAGGTTAAGCAATTTGGCTATTCTATCCATCGAAAATTCTATGGCCCGAAATTTGAACTTTGATGATGTCATTAACACTTTTGCTGAACAGAAAATCCGAAGAAAGGAATTTTAATAATTAAAATTGTGTACTTAAAATAAAATTGTGATTTCAGTTCAATATGTACTTTAAATTAGGTACCTTTAATTAAAAGTGAATAATTAGAAAATCAAAATATTATAATTATAAAGTTTGTATGTACCTACTTCACGTAGTGATTTATTAGTTAACTCTTACAAATAAAAGTGTATAAATAAATATTATAAAATAAAAAATACTATTGTTGTTGGTTCAGCTTCTTTATATATTGGGGAAGTGGGAGGGCCCATTCGATGAATTTGCCACGGGCCTCGAACGGTATAGTTACGCCACTGTATGGGATAATATAGTGAACATAATTAATAGGTACATCGGTCTCATAAGTACTTTTGAATACCTAGTTATAAATTTCTTGCTGAGCCAAGTATTTAACTGTAATAAGTATTTATTTTAGACGATTTTATTGTATTGTGTGGATTCAAAGGAATCGCGCCAGCTGAGCTCTTTCTACTCACTCAATGGCGGGCGGGCGCGGTCGTTGTCTCCGCGGTGGCCGCGGTCGTTGTCCCCGTGGTGGCCGCGGTCGTTGTCCCCGTGGTGGCCGCGGTCGTTGTCCCCGTGGTGGCCGCGCCCGCTTAATTGTACTTATTTTTCCGTTTTTTTAGTAGTTAGTGCTTATTTTTTAGTTGTTTTTCACTGAATATGTAAGTATGCGTGTTTAAAATGAATAACTACTCAAAAGAAGGAAAGGACATAAAATACACAAATAAAAAAATAAAATACTTCAAGTAAATCCGAATAAAATCAGGCATACTCTATACACCTAACCCAATAATCCTACAAAGTTTCATTAAAACATTAAATTTCACCTTATATAGTATCCTACTATATTAGGGGATCAAATACTATATTTTAAAATATATATAGGGTGAAATTGAATGTTTTAATGAAACTTCGTGAGATTTTTGGGTTACGTGTATAGAGTATGCCTGTTTTTTTTCGGATTTTTTTCATGTTTTTATTTATAATTTGTGTATTTTAATGTCCTTTCCTCCTTTTGAGTAGTTATTCATTTTAAACATGCATACTTACATATCCAGTGAAAAACAAATAATTAATAAGCACTACTAAAAAACGGTAAAATTAAGCGAGCGCGGCCACCGCGGGTCAACGAACGCGCTCACCCGCTGTTGAGTGATTAGGTACGAAGGAGCTCAGTTGACACGACTCCTTTGATTCCACACAATACAATAAAATCGTCTAAAATAAATACTTATTGCAGTTTAAATACTTGGCTCAGCAAGAAATTTATAACTAGGTATTCAAAAGTGCTTATGAGACCGATGTACCTATTAATTATGTTCACTATATTATCCCGTATACACTTTGTAAACAGAATCAATCGCCAGATCTACTTTCGTAAAGCCTTGCGGCTCCGCTGAGTATTTCGTCACACTCACAATAACACCACACCATATCCAAATTCTTATATCGAGGCCACAGAACAAGAACTAATCGAGGCATAATTTGCAAATCTTGTCTTGTCACAAAGTTGAAACACACGCACGCGCGATGCACCGCGCATAGGTAGGTAAGTAAGTAGGTATTCAACGGCGGGAGCGGTCATCGCTTCAGGCCGGCCGTCTTCTGTTTTTCCGTTTTTTTATTAGTTGTTTTTTACTTACTCTGTATGCGTGTTTAAAAAGAATAATTATTTAGCAGCCAAAATGAGGAAAGGAGTTAAAAAATACCAAAAAAAAACAACATTTTTTTTTAACAAGGTTTTTTAAAATGATTTAAAAATAGAATGTTGTTTTTAAAAAACCCGAAAAAATTCAGATACTATATATACGTAACCTAACTGTGATCAGGGGAAGTTAATAACAAATAGCTTGTGATTTAGGTGTTTTATTTATTATCCGATTACGGCTACAACATTGTACAAGGGAAGACGCCATTAATCCAAGAGAACAAAGACAGGGTTGCCACTGCACAAACAAAAACTAACCATTGCCAACTTAACACACTCCCTCAATGGTTAAATCAATTATTGATATAAACTTAAATAACAAAAGTATAGCGACACCCTCTGCTATATAACTCAAAAACTAAACAGTACTCTTACATATCTTAATTTCAGTTTATACATTTCAAATATCAAACACTAATCAATAAGTACACTTCTTACTTTTCTTTTATAATACATAAATAACAATTTAGAATAAGCCCAAACCTAAACGAAACTTTGCAAATTTAATTTTGCCTAAGGGCTTGGTTAACACATCACTTATCTGATCATTTGTACTTATGTACCTTATTTGCACAATATTATTTGAAACATTATCACGAACAAAATGAACCTTAATATCTACATGTTTCAGTCTATGATCAAATATTAGATTTTGACACAATTTGATAACAGACCTGATTATCTTCATAAAGAAGCACAGAAACATTTCCAACTTCAAAGCTTTTAAAAATGTTTCTGAGCCAGCAAGCTTCTGCAGTTGCCATACTTAAAGCTACATATTCTGACTCGGTGGATGACAACGCAACAGTTGCCTGTTTACGTGAAGTCCATGATACAGTACACCCAAACACTTTGAAAATAAAACCACTTGTTGACTTTCTGTCTACTTTGTCACCTGCCCAATCAGAATCTACATACCCAACAATTTTGTTTTCAATATTATCATTAATCTCAAAAATTAAACATAAAAATTAAACACAAGAGTACCTTTTATATATCTAAAAACGCGTTTAAGAGCACACAACAATTCTTTACTTGCACAACTTTGATAACGACTAAGTACACTAATA